AACTCAGATTTTATACAGGTGTTAAATAAAAAGACGTGGCGCGATTTTTGCCAAATTTTATAATTCTCACGAGATCAATACAATATATCCCTTTCATTGACTGGTCACTATGAAGTTTCGATAACTAGATCCTTACCTTTAAAACTTATAGTATGAAATTTTAGTTTTGAGTTTTGGCAACAAATGTGAGCCATTTGAAATATGCTTAAAAACGCTGGATTTAAACTTTCACACAACAAACAATGATTTTTGTTCAGTTACATTAGTACGTTTTTAAAAGAATAAAACTTTTGCAATAAACTGCACCCAAAACCATCTTCTTAAATGCATTACCCGTGACGTGTGATCGTTTGTAATGTAAAAAATTAAATTCTGCGTTTTTATTCATATTTCAAATGATTCATATTTGTTACCACAACTCAAAATTCGAATTTCATGTCAGGTTTTAAAGATTGATCTCTAAAAATAGAAATTTTACTACAACTGGTCAATGAAAGTGATCATTAAAACTAAAAATGCAATAAACTACTGCATGCGAAAGCTGTACTCTTGCCTTTAAAATGCATATCGATTTTTGTCGATAGGACATTTGGATCAAAAGATATCGAATTTTTACCGTCGAGCTGATACAAATGTCATTGAACATTTATTTTGCGCGTATAACTGACATAAAATCGACGGTCACTTCAAGCGTTGTTTATAAGAGAACGGTTCATTCTACACAAAAATGCTTATAAACATTTTTGTTTAAAATTATCTCAGTTACATTTTTTATTTAAAACATTTTTTCTATTGTGCACAAATTCTTGCTAAATCGATTTTTTTGCGTTTTTACCCCTCTGCGAGGGGGTTTATGGGAAGCCTAGGGGCAAAGTGGTAAACTTTTTGGCATATTTTTTGGGGCCCCAAAATTAATATTCTCTGCAAAATTCAGCTTGTTCGTATGATTTTTAGGGTCAACTCTCTGACGACTGGACTAATGTGAGAAGTAGGTATTCTGATTTCTGCAGAAAAATTATGTGATAAGTTCAGTGATAATAATTGACTTATCTCCCCTGTCAAACAGGTCGGAAACATTAATAAAATATTTAAATATTTAAAAATTTCTAAAAACATCGTTTTTTTTTTACTTTTCTTGCTTATTACTTTAAAATGATTTATTTTGAAGCAAAGTCGTACTGAAATAAAATAGCGATAATTGAATTTTCTATTGGTCAAAATGGCAATAATAACCAACTGGTTTAAAATGTTTTAATTCATTACCCTTAATGCAAAATAGTAGTAAATATAAAAAAAGGGAGAAACAAGCCATTTTTATTTTCTTGTTTTTCAAACAACTTATTCACTTAGGACCTTCATAATTTGTCTAAAAAATCTTTATGATATAGCAAAACAGTCCACCAAATTTTATTAAATTCGATTGAATAGATGTCGCATAATAATTTTGCAATCTATTTTTCTTTTAATTGAAACTTTCAAATCTTACATAAAGAAACTAGACCATAAAGAATTTTGCCATATTTTTTACAAATCAAAAGCACTCCACCTATCCGTGGAATTGAAATCGGACTATTTGGGCGGAATTATGAATGGTATAGAAATTATAAACAATTTTTCGGCGTTGGAAGACTCAACAAGGCGCTTCTTTTAAAGCGCTTAAAAAAGTTGAATTAAGAGCAGTGGTTCTTGAGATAAAACAGGCCAGATCGACATTTGCGATGAAATGATAAACAGTTGGATGGTAATCTTTGAACCATTACCTTTTTCTTTCAGAGCTCTTTCTGGATAAAAAGTTTTCCTATTTTCAAGATATTCATAACATATATTATAATACAACGGTATTGCGCGTAAAATACGAGACAATACATGTTTTTTTACATATACCAATTTTGAACTTTGAAGTTCAATTTTCTTCAATCTAGTTTTTTTGGTATTTTTCACGCGAAATACCGATCGTTTTTATTATTATAATATAAATATGTTTAGTATCTTGAAGATATGAAAATTTATCTCGAAAGAGAGATCCAAAAGAAAAAGGTAAAGGTTCAAAGATTACTATCCTATTGTTTATTCTTCTTCAATTGCCATCTCCGCGGCGGAGGTCGGCAATCATCATAGCTATTCGGACTTTTGAGACGGCTGCTCTGAAAAGTTCATTTGATGTACATCTGTACCACTCTCTCAGGTTGCGCAGTCATGACATTCTACGTCTCCCTATGCTTATCTTTCCTTGGATCTTTCTCTGCATAATCAGTTGGAGCAAGGTGTATTTCTCTCCACGTGTGATATGTCCTAGAAATTGAATTTTTTTTGTTTTAATTGTATTTAAAATTTCCATTTCTATATTCATCCTTCTAAGAACCTCTTTGTTTGTGACGTGTTCCGTCCACGATATTTTCAGAATTCTTCTATACACCAACAGCTTGAATGATTCCAGTTTTTTCATTGATGTCGCATTCAACGTCCAAGATTCCATTTCATAGTTCTACCTTAGTTCCAGTTTTAAATCCCTGGTAAATGGCACATATTGTTTATTATTTCGTCGCAAATGCCGGTCAACTTTGACCGGTTGTATCTCAGGAACCACTGCTCGTAATTCAAGTTTTTTTCTTAAAAAAAAAGCTTCTTGCCGAGTCTTTTCTAACGTCGTTTTCTGAATTTAACTTAGACTAATAGTTACCAAGATATTCTATTTGTTTATAAGCCAAAAAATGGTTTATAATTTCTAACATTCATGAGGCCGCACAAATATTCCGATTTCAATTATGTACAATAAGTTAGATAGGTAGAGTGTTTGATATGTAAGAAATATGACAAAATTCTTTATGGATTAGTTTTTTTTGTGCGAGATTTTAAAGTTTCAATTTTGTGCGAGATTTAATAAAATGTGGCGGACTATTTTCCTATCTTATAAAGATTTTTTAGGTGAATTATAGGTCCTAAGTGCAATCTAAGTTGTTGAAAAACAAGAAAATAAGAAAAGGCTTGTTTTTCCTCTTTTTTTGTTTTTCCTCTTTTTTGTATTTACTGCTATTTTGCATGAAGGCATAAATTAACTTGTCGTATCGCACAGAAAATTTAATTATCGCTATTTTATTTTAGGGCTACTTTGCTCCAACATGAATCGTATTAAAGTTATAATCAAGAAAAGTAAAAAAAAAACGATGTTTTTAGTAATTTTTAAATATTTTTATTTTTTTATTAATATTCCCGACCCATTTGAGAGAGGAGATAAGTCAATTATTATTACTAAAGCTATCACACAACTTTTTCCATAAAAAACCGAATGCCACCTCTCAATTCCACCTCAAAACAGATCAGCCCTGATCTATTAATAAAGACACATCAAATGCCATATGAGATATCAGAAAATTTCAAACGAAATAATTCTAGAGACTAAAAGAATAGATAATGAGACGAAACATAACAACAAGTAAAAAATAAATGGAACATTTATTACCTAAGGGCAAAGAGGGTAATGTAATAAAAGATGAGGAGTAATAAAATCTTAGAAAAAAAATCGAACAGTTCTACATGGAATTGTACGTACAACAAATCAACATTAACATACAAGAGATCCACGGAAAAAAACCTACAAAACAAAGGATCTAAGATTACTTGAACCGAGCAGCGGGATGATCAAGAGAAAATGTAACAAATGAAAGAATCTGACAATATTTAATATTTTATTTTTGTAATAATGTTTTTATTTATATTAAACTGCACCAACTCATTTTAGAAATTAACGGGATGAGTGACTTTTTAAATTATTTGGGCTTAATCATTATCCTAAATTATATAAATACATGCCCGTTTGTTTAGTAGCAAACGTCTTAGTTGGTTTGTAATACAAAAATGAAAGAAATTTAAAATTATTTGCACCGTTAGTAAACAAAAATCTGACGTGGGAAATGTTTCATACCAGATATCAACGCTGAAGCAGGTTACTGGTTAAATTTTTCAAAACCGAGTTGATGTCAACGAATTATTTTTTTTAAAACGCATAGTGTTTAACGATTTAATCGTATTTAAAAAAATATCGTATATGTTTTTGATCTATAAAAAATTTTTAATTTCGATTTTAAACTCTTGGCCGTCTTTATAGCACTAACGACAAAACTTATCACACATATTTCACGGAACGTTTAGTCTTAAAAATCAATGAAGAATTGCCTACAAAAACATTGCTGATTACTTTGGATAAACCCTCAATATTGTAGAATTTACTTGAAAAAAAACAGCATAAACACAATAAAAGCACTAAGAATTTTGGCAAGCTTAGACAAGAGCCCTATTTTCATCTACAGAACAGATAGAAGAATAACAAAAGAAAAACTATATCATGGTAAAAAAAGGAATATAAAGTTATCAACGAGCAAAATACTGAACCCTTAAACATCCTAATGCTAATGTAAGTCTCGATATTTAGGAAATACAAAAAATGTTGACAAAAACAAACTGAAGTTTTGGAAATATCTACGAATATGGCCAAAGCTAATATAGGACGAACAAGACTAAGACCTAATATATGCCATAATATAGGACACAATATAGTAAGACGGCGTAAAAGTAAGAAAACTAAAAATTTTCCAACATGTAACAATTGAAGACAACATGGATGTAGCTGTAAAGGACAGAAATAATAGAGAGTATTGTGTAGACAAAAAATATATAAAATAACCAACTAGAATATTTAAAAATGTTCACATATAGCATACCGTATAGTATATATATATGAAAAAGTCTTCTGAACAAAGTGTAACAGTATATATACAACACAATGAAAGAAAGTGAAAGACTGATCAGAAACTATGAGGTTAAGTCTAGATAGAGACATCAGAGAAACGGAGGTATGGAGATTTTTAAAGTTTTAACCAATAAAGTCTAGCTTAGATTGCTGCTTGCGTAAAGTAGTTGGCCTTTTTCAAATTAATCTTTTCGTCAATCATAACTGCTGTAATCTATCCTGTAAAAAAGATGACTGCTTTCTGAAAATGTACCTTTTTGGCCCACGCTTGATAGCCTGAAGACAGTTCAGCTTGAGATAGAATCTGAGCACCCGTCGATCCAGTAAACTGGCCCAACTGTTGCTTACTCGTGGCCCAACTCTGCATCTAAAAAAAATAAAAATAATTTTGAAGTTGAAGTTGAATAGGAAAACAGATTCTATATACACACTTCACCTTCTAGATCATAATCACTCTTTTAATGTTTTAATGACGAATTTCAAATTCTTCACATCCAAAATAAAGGCCTTAAGCTTTCTTTATTAAAATCTATGGAAATTACCAAATTAAAAAACACGGACATAATTCTGAATGACCGACCAACTTCTGAGACAAACAGTTGTCCCTTTCTCAACATATTCCGTTAAAGTTAATAAATTGTAAACACATCAAAAAATAGATCACTTGAGAAAGGAACTCTGTCGAAACAGCTGTAGTGATAAAATATTATAATAAATTTTGTGGAAGTTTTATATAAAATGAATTTCCATCAAGTAACGGTCGAATCCATCACTAATTTAATATACTTACTTCTTTGTTCGATTTGTAAACTTCAGTTAAAGCCTGGACGTCATTGGGATTTTCTTGCAACTTTCTCATTGCAGAAAGTCTTTGGGATATAATAGATCCAATATCCACAGCAACCTACAAAAAAAGGATGAGTTAATTACTTTGTAGTTCTCGTATTTATAATAAAATTAACGCAGATTTCTGTAAAACTTTTTCCGATCCCAAGTAGTCAACTATATCACTAATTTTCATTTTTTGCGCTTCCCAGTCTTCAAATATTGATGACTTTGTCATTATTTATAAAATATAATACACAAGGAATGCGTCGTTACCTTTAATGCTGATGTATAACATTTTTAAATTAAACATGTAATTAATAAATTAACTACAGTTTCTGGAACTTTGGTGTGTATATCATTTTATTAACTTTTGCCATGATATTACAAACGCAGATTTACAAGGACTAATCATGAAGAATTATTTACAGTAGAGCGTCGATTCTTCTGACGCATCCAAAACTCGCAAAACGATGAAACTTGCCTCAAACACGGATTTAAATGATGCTGTATATAAGTGGTTGACTCAAGAGATTCCAGGAAGAAACTATTTCTGATCTGATTATGTGTGAAAAAGCAGTTCAATTTAATGAAAACCCCAGAGAGTTATCAAGCAAGTACAAATCGGTCTTGAGCTAGTTGTTTGTGGTCTGGTTCTCAATCGAACAATAAATTCGAAGTGTATCTTCGAAGAGGTGGGAGTCCGTTAATCGGGAGCGATATTTATTTTTCAAAAAATTCATTTTGAGAAAATTCATTTTTGAGAAAGACGTTTCGGACATATATGTTGAGCCAAACATAGTGGCCAAATTGATTGCAAGTAGCCTGCAATTTTCATACTTTGCTGGCATATGTTTGGCCCAAAAGTCTTCGGAGGATACCGATTTATAAACGTGCAAGGACAGATCTTCTTGTAATTCAATAATTCCCATTTGAAGTAATGCTTTTGGCAGATTAAACAACTTAGCAGCCACATCTGTCCACTCTGACGCTGTATCAACTTCAAATGGTAATTTTAGAAATGAAGATAGTTTGCTTACCTGTGCAAAGTCTTGGAATCTTGAAGCAAATTAGTTCCTAAGATCGCCCAGAAATTTTACGAACACTGCAATGTCTTTTTCGGAGTATTCTTTAGTTTTATTATATTCAAGAATAGTTGGAAAATGAATGAATTCTTGTTGTGCAATATCTTTTTCAAAAATGTCCAACTTACGACGCAAAGCAGACACGCCTTGTATCAGATCACATACTAATTTTCCATTTCCTTGTAATTCTGTCTTAAGCGCATTCAAATACTTTAAAATATCTTTTAGAAAATCCACAACCAAGATATTGTGCCTATTTGTTATATTATCAAAATGTGCCCTGGCTCCCTGCGTATCTATATTTTGTAAGAAGGAGATCACATGTTCTTTTATTAGCCAGAAACGTTCAATAACTTGACCTTTACTTAATCAACGAGCATTATGGAGCTATTATAGTAAGCATATCAAAATATGCTGAATTACATTAAGAAAGAAACTCCTTGAAAGGTCGGTGCTGAAGAGCAGAATGAGATCTTATAAAATTAATTAACTTCACTAAACGGTCCATGACTTCTTTAAGTCTAGCACTATGCTTTACAAAGGGCTGCCTGGTGTATTATATACTAATATGTTATTAAGTTTGAATTTTTATCCCTAATCCTCTTTTCTACACCTTTTTTTGCCAATCATGGCTAGGGCCCCATCAGTAGACAATGAAATCATTTTATTGTAACTGATGTTAGATTTAGATATTAATTCATCAAGAACCTTGAACATATCTTCTCCTCGAGTGTTACCTTTCAGCGGCAATATTGCTAGAAACTCTTCCCTAAAAATCTGATACTCAATATCAAGAAATCTTACAAAAATGCTCATGCAGCGAACTAGGATTTTTGTGCTTTTTTTGTAAGAATTAAGTTTTTCTTTACGCGCCTGACTGCCAAGCGGAAAGTTTTTGTGGAGGTGCTGATGAGTTGTTTCGTAGTGTTGCTTGAAATTTCCACTTAACCAATACGACAGTTTTATTGTATATAAGGCACACCGGAACCGCTTGCGGCCTATCGGGCAGTATAAAAAAATATTGTTCAGTCCATTTTGTCAGAAACTTCCTATTTGCACTGCCCACTTATCTTCTTTTCGGATCCATATCAACATAGGTACAAAAAGATGTTTTATAAAATGAACGAAAACTCGAGTAATCACAAATCAAATTACCGGTAGTGCGCTACGTGCATGTCACTGACCAACTAGTGAGCGACTGTCGGTTAGTGGACAGCAGCGTTGCCAGGCCATATACATTTTATATACCCAAATTGTGTTTTAAAAGTTGCCAGATTTTGAACAGAATTCCCCAGCTTTATATATTTCAGTTATTGTAAATATACAATATTATTATAGTACAATGTTTCAGCACTTGTACATAATTGTTATTATGTTTATTTATCATATCACTTCAGCAATCGATATTCCGCAGTTCGGTCCGCAGTTCAACCTTTCGCAATTCGGTCCGCAGTTCAACCTTTCGCGGTCAGGATTCGGACCGCGATCCGCCTGTTGCCGACCGTTGGTCTAGTTTCTTCAAGTTGCTCCTTACCCTGATCTAATAGAAAAATTATTATGAAAAGCCTGTGATAATTAAATAACTGTGTTATGATTAGTGTATAACACACGGCTTCCAGGAAAAAATCTAGTTTTGTTTGAGTCTACTGTTGTTTCTCTGCTACTTTAAGTTGTTTCCTTTATCTCCAGTTATCTTATATTGTTGCTTTCTGCAGTTAAGTATGTTTATTTTTTAATCATAAAACTAACATCGTCTTCACCTTATGCGATAATTATGTGATCTTCAGTGAAACTTAGGAATTATAGGTTTTCGTCGCGTAACGTATGTCCATTCCTTCGCACTGTCTTTTAGGAAAAAGAATTAAGCAAAAAAAGTAGGTACCCAATTTGCGACACTGAACCGGTCAAGCAAATTACAGTTGTTTGAGTAGTACGAACCTCTAAAACAAGAACCTATATGTTTCCTGTAGTCGATTTTTTGGACTTAATTAGTTATTAACAAATTAAGATCAAAAAAACGGCAAATTTTCACTGTTTTCGTCTATCGATAAAAAGTGAAGCATTTGAAAAACATTTGAGAGTAATAAACTTATGTCATATAAAAACCTTCAAAATTGAGTTTTTTTAATGTTTCAATCCTTATTTGTTGCTAGAAAGTTGCAAAATAAGTCATAAATTTCGGTTTTTTATGAATTTTAATAACTTCTTTTTAAAATAAACTTAAAACTTTCATATTGGACAGTATGTTGGTTCTTGTGGTGGGTAAAATATGATCAAAATTTCAAGGCGATCGGTCAAATAGTTGTTGTTTGTTTGTGTTTGTATGACTGCGGACACTAAATCCATCGCCAGGTCAAATAGTTTAAAAGATATTTAATTTATTTATCAAAAATTAAATATTTTTGCAACAATGTACGTAAATCAGAAAATGTTAGTTATAGTAATTCTACAAAAAGCTTATCAAAGAAAAAGATCCATTCTATCAATATTTAAAAAAAAAAATGAAGAATAAGGATTGTAAATATTTCGAAATTATTTTGCAAAAACAGGTCGATTTATTGCTTATAAACAAGTAGAATAACTGTTGCCTACACGAAAATAGTTTTTTCATATTTGGAAAGCCTCCATTTTTTTTTACAAATTCTAAAAAAGGACAAATTGTCAGAACAATTCGGGACGAAGTTAGTTCCTTTTTTTTTAATTTACAGCAGCTTTGTTTATATTAATTAATATATCTAATTTGCATCACTTGAAAGAACATACTTTAAAGTTTCAACTTCACCAGTTGAAAGAGATTACTTTTCAACGAAATCGTCCACAAAGCTTTTAAGTGTGATCCTCAAATTCGGCCTACTTTGAAACTCAAGGAAGCGATGGAGGGGGAAGAAGCTGTTAACTGTATCTCTGGTTCTTTTTTATGAATGTCGACGTTTCTTTTTTTTTTATTTGGTTACATAGACCTTCAATTTGTAACTTTGTTTTTCAATTTTTATTTTATTTTTTTAGGAATAGTAATTTTTATTGTAAAACATAAATATTTATGATTTTTACTATTGATTTATTTAACATTTTTTAAACACATTATAAAAACATGTTTTTTTTTTACTCGAAGATACTTTTTCTAATAATTTAAGTTCTAAGACGAAACTTATTAGTGTGTTTTTTCGGAAAATACTTACTTTGACGTAAAATACAAATAAACAATTAGAAATGTTGAAAAAAGCCGATTTTAACGTTTTTGAGGGCAATTTTTCAATAAGCCGGACATCGAATTTAAAAAACAAAAAAATATGAGGTGAAGACGTAAGTTTCAAAATGCTTTTTTGATTTTATATGACATACATATTATATATATATATATATATATATATATATATATATATATATATATATAATATACCCGGTATTTAGGCGGCACAACGCCCCTTCCGGTAGGGATCATCTATGGAGGAGTATCACCGAGACGCAAGCCCTTATCTCTTGTCGTACTGCTCCACCATAGGCCGATCAGACACCACATATTTAGTCTAAAGCCGCAGATTCATTTAGAATTTTAAACTGCTGCGTTAGCCTTTTTGTTTTCTGTACACCGAACTGGGGATCGAACTCACTTCCACTGAACCACTCGCAGTGAAGCGAGTGAGAAACCGGCCGCCCAGCCCGCTTGGCTATCTGACCGACCAATTTAAAATATCCATAAATAAATTGATATACCGGTGCATTTTGGGATATATAGACTTAACCAACGTCTCAACTTTAACGTTCGAAACACATTGTTTATTTCTTAAGCACAAGCTGAATCTTATTTTAATCGAAAGAATATGATGCTACAACATTACAGTAAAAAGGTTACCCAAAGTTTACCAGGGGATGTTCTTTTATAACAAATTTTCAACAAATGCAAAAATTTATTTTTTTTTTAAAAACCAATTTATTATTTCGTTTATAACGAGCAGGTTCTCCTAGTAAACTTTCGGTAAACATTTTACTGTAATATTGCAGCATCATATTCTTTCGATTAAAACAAGATTCAGCTTGCGTGCAAGAAATAAACAATATGTTTCGAAAGTTAAATTTCAGACGTTGGTTAAGTCTATATATTCCGAAACGGAATGGTATATCAATTTGTTTATGGATATTTTAAACTTACTTTTACAATATAAAATCAAAATCGAATTGCCCATCTTTAAACTACTTGACTTTGTTTGAAAGCTTTTATTTTTTGTTTTTTAAACTTGATGTCCAAACCATTATAAAATGGTCTCGAAAAACGCTAATTGGCTTTTTTCGTCATTTTTAATTGATTGTTTGCATTTTACGTTTAAATTTGCATTTTGTAGCAAAAAACATTTTTTATAATTCCAAAAATAATTGTTAAATAAATAAATAATATTAACTTAATAAATAAATAGTAAAAAATCATTATTATTCATGTTTTACAATAAAAATTGCCACCAATATTACTCAGAAAAATTAAAAATTGAAAAAAAAAGGCCGGCCTATTTTAAGGAGCATATCTTAAAGCTTTGTGGACGATTCCTTTAAAAGGTAATAACTTTCAAAATTGTCACATTAAAACTTTATGTTCTTTACAAGTGACGCCAATTAGATTATCTTAATTATTGTTATAAAGAAAGTTGTTGTCAATTTTTTAAAAGAAGGGGTAACTTCCTCCAAATTGTCCTAAAACAACTTTTATTTTTTTTTTATAATTTGTAGAACAGTTAGTAGGTATTGTTAGTAGTAGTAGGTAACAGTTAAAGAGTAATTCTAATTGTTTATAAGCAAGAAATCGGCATGATTTTGCAATATTTAAAATCGTTTTTCTACAACAATTTTTTTTAATAATATTGATGAAATAAATCTTCTTATTTCGTAAGCTGTTTGTACAATTAATGTAACTTTATAATTATCTGGTATATTGTTGCAAAAAAATTTATTTGGGAAAAAACAAATTAAATACCTTTAAACTATTTGACCGATCGCTTTGAAATGAAAGAACCAACATACTATGTAATATGCAGGTTCTAAGTTTATTTTTTTAAAAGTTAAAAACTTTTCTAAAAAACCAAAATTTCCGACTTATTTTCCAACTTTCTGAGCAAGAAATAAGGATAAAACATTTTAAACGCCATTTTAATGGTTTTATATGATTTATAAAATTTTTTCAAATTCTTCACTTTTTGCTGATTGAAACAGTGAAAATTTACAGTTTTTTAGTATGTAAATGTGATCTATGAATAATTTTCCAGTTGTAACCCATGCTATAAATAATATACCTATATTAACATCTTATATACTAAAACGCTAAGCCCTTTTCTTGTCCACCACTTTACTCAAAAACCATATTAGATAATTAAAATATGTTTTCGGAATATTATTAGTATTACGTATGAGATTTTCAAGATATACTTTTGGTACAAAAATTCACTTCCGGTTTTGAGATGACCGGAAGTTAAAATTTACTTTAAGTTTTAGACCCCACAATGTATATATGGATCGAAAGGTCTCGTCGAGACGAATCTAAATATGTACTTCCGGTTGCGATCCGATACCGGAAGTGACCCGAAACGCGCATAAAACGTCAAGATAGAGCAAATCTGACACCGGATTCGTGATCAGCACGCAAAATTAACTGCTAAATGATATCCATGTCGACATTTGATGAACTAAAAATTGCATTCCGGTTTTGAGGTCGACTTCCGGTTTCGTTTTTATTGAAAAGTAAAAAGTAAAAGTTTACATAACTCCCGGTGCCAAGCAAAAGTTTTCAGAAAATGGAGACATTGTAACAAAAAATATTGTTTTCGACGAAATATTTCGTGATATTTAATACACTTTTTACTTGCATTATTATTGATGAATGTTATGTATATTCTTGCTTATATTGTTTTGTATTGATCTCTTAATTTTTCTCGCAAAATAAACATTTCATTTAAAAAACTCGATATCGAGTTGATCCGCTAGTATATAACCTATATTAACATTTTGTATTAGCTATCGTCAAATAAAGTTGAATTTTCATAGAGTTTTTGAACTTCTATCTTCGATTAGGTTCTTTTTAATGGCACAATGATAGCACAAAGATATTTTTACGTTCCATTATTTACTTTTACTTAAAAGGTTATTTTACCAACCTTACCTTACTAGCTGGCGTCGGAAAAACTTGAGGACCAGGTGGCGCATTGGGCGGAGCCGGTATCGTAGGGATCTTATCACTTCTCACAGCCAATAGTGATGGCGTCGCAGGAGAAACAGTAGGTAGCGGGATCTTCTCGGGACTTTGAATAACCGGTGGAGCAGGAGGAGGTTCTAAGGGCAACGGAATGCCACTAGTAGAAGTTGTATTGATAGAGGCCGTGCTTGTAGCAACAGCTGTAACAGCTGAAGGAGGGAGACCGTCGAGTTTTTTGGCTGAAGGTGGTGACACAGGCATCCATTCCTCACCTTTCCTGTGGTGTTGGCCACTGCTGACTGGAAACTGGATGCGCAACTCGCTGGTTCGTTCGAAAGCTGTTTTTACCGGTAGCGGTACAGAATTCTACAAAACAATTACCAAAGTCAAAAAAGTTTTAACGAATATAATAATAATTTTGCTATGTTAAATTTCTTGACATATTAAAAAAAATAACAAAAATTACGGACAAAGAAAATAAAGAAGAAAAATATCAAACATGCACAATAAGAATTTTTGTATGCATCACAAAAGAATTATAAAATAATATAAAAAAAGCAATTGATCAGTTTGTTTAAATGTTTAGCTAGAAAAACTATATTCCGATAATTGGCAGTTACTATGAGCATGAATTATATGTATAATATGAAGTTAAGTTATTTATAATGTCATTGATAGTTTAAAATTACTTTTAAGTAAGCAAGAGCAAAACACACTATAATCAAAACGTCAAACTGACATTAGTCAGCAATGTCTCTTAAAAATATAAATCAACGAACATCTCCATCGTCCTCTTGTCTCCAAGATAATCTGTCTAACGCTATTTTACTTACAGAGGCGGGAGTTGATCTCAGAAGAAGTTATGTCACAGGTAGAAAGTGTATCAGCCAATTGAGAAATATAATCAACACAACGGAAAATGCCGTTAATGCGTTGCAATCGACCGCCAAAAGAGTACTGGAACAAGCAAATAAAATGGTTGTGGAAATTAATAATGGCAGAGGGACCAAAGAAGGGCAGGAATTGATGTCTGTCATAGATAAACACTTAACTGGATTGAGATGTAGTTCGGAGATAGATGTTCAACAAGTAAATCATATCTTTCTAAACACGAGTTCATATATTCCTAGCAGACTTGTTAAACAATATTTATTTCTCAGGAAAAAAACATAAAAATATAACTGTCGGCCAAGGTTTTATGGTCTCCCATTTCAATATCAAATTAAAAATTACAATATTTGTAATGTATCACTAACATGTATTTACGCTTTGGACTAAAACCATAGTTTAAATATTGTATGAATGCCCTTATAATATTCGTATTTGGCAATGATGAATATTTTGCTATACCATAAAAATTTACAATTGAAAGTGATTCATTGCCAACATAACGCTTTAAGTGACCAACCGATATTCCCCTCATCAGCTTACTTTGCAGAAGCGTACCAAAATAATACATTTTAATTATTTATTATTTATTTAAACACATAATTACGTAAAAATTAAATCTAAAACCGATATAATTATTAGGTAATTTATCATGTTAAATTATCATTATAGAGTGCCTAGTACAGCACTTAAAAAAATAGAAAACTTTGCAAAATAATTATTATACTCCATTTATATAGAAGAAGAAGTACAAAACAAAGTAATAATTATCTAAGTTATGCTTATGAAATTTTTGGAATCCAGCGACTCGTCCGAAGAGGAATCCCCAGTCACACTTAAGTCTATTATTATTTTGTCAAAAACAGTGATCCTTGATCACATGGGATACGGCATTAGTCAAATCTTCTTTCTGTATCCGTTTCAATGTGAGATCTAACAAACGTTGGATATCAAAAATTGTATATGTCAAGTTTGCACGAGCTACTTAAACCCTTTACCTGAGCCCAGATTAATTTTATCGAGTTAAACTCGCAGTGGTAAGTAGGAAGTCTCAAAATGGTGATGCCTTTAGCACAAGCCATTGTATCTACAACATGCTGGCAATATCTGTTACGATACTGTCTAATGACACTTATAAGTTCAGCCTTAACCATGTCCTCGGAAAATGAAATATCTCTTTGTCGTAACCAACTCTGCACGTCTGCTTTTCTGGTGGCCATAGTTGGCAGATGTTCTGCTATCGACTGTGATAAGAAGCGATCTCTATCACTATTACCGAATTTAGCTCGACGCATGAAAGAAATGTTTCAAGCTATTTTTTAAAGGGTTTTTTAACGGGATATCAGCCGTTTTTTGGATAAAAATATTAGAGCACTATCGTCTAAAAAGCCACTCTCGCTACCTATATGGGCGCTAATCAGTCGTTGCCCAGACAGAAGGAATCTCTCTAATAAAGCGGAGTTATCTTCGTCGCTATGAGACTAAATCTCCTCTTTCTATTAAGACAGATTTACGGGATCGTTTGGCATATATAAATTTTAACTCCTCTTATATTATTATTCTTAACGCCCTTTGCTCATTTTTGGAATGAAATCATTCTCCATTACCTTTGTCCTAATGAATTCGAGGGTTGGCGCTTTATTCTCAAAAAAGAAAGAATGAATAGTAGTGCGTACCAATTTTTTCTGGTACTCGTCCAAGCCAATATTTTTTTTCTACTACAACGTACTTTTGGAGCTTTCACAATCCCAGTCACCTTTTTATCACGTACAATCCGTTCAATTGTCGACACGGATACTCCCTTTAAAAACGAACACGGAGCTATAACTTCCACAGTACGAAGTGTAGTTTTTAAATTTTCATAAACTCTAGACAATTTGCTTTTCTTCTACCGACATAAACTTTCGCTTTCTTTGTACATTACTTGAATCCGCTTTGGCATCCATCTTAATGATATCCAAATACTATATTTATATTTGGATTTATTCAAAAACTAATTAGAGTTAATAAATATAATAGTCTATTTAATAAATATATCAGAAGAAACTATTTCTCCCATTCCCACTCTTTTCAAGGACGCAAATATATATACCAGCGAAGTGTTGATAAATTTACCGCTGTTTCAAAGTATTCAACAACCTTGTTCAACTATTTGCTCGTTAATCGCACCGGTATGCCATAGGTATATTGTTACGGGGGCAAATTTTATGAAACCATCTTACTTTTCACTTATCCACATTAGCGAAGCATACACAATAAAAATGACCCCAGTAACTGTCGGTAAGAAGTTACATATGACATTTAACACTGTTGTCGTTAGCTCTCAATTCAATTCGTAGATGAGTCACCTTTAATTGAAAATTGTTATAGTACTGTAAGAGTTGAAATAAATCTGATTTGGCTTCTATCAGGAGTATTATTTCAGTGTTTGGTCTATAAAAATAACATTAAGTAATTGTAAACCCCCCGCTAATAACCCTTACTGGTTGATACGGGTATATTTGTGTAAATAAAAAATACATATATCTTGTCTTCAGTAAATATTTGCCTTGATTAATTAACTGGTCATTATTTTTGAGTTATGTAAAACACTATGTGTTGTTGTTTTGTTTGTGTTATATGAACTGCGGACACTAAATCCATTCGCCAATCTTATAATTTGAGGTGTGAGTGTGTGTGTGTGTGTGTGTGTGTGTGTGTGTGTAGAGTAATTGTCTTGACACTTAGCAAAGTCGACGTCATTGTCTTTGCTAAGAGACGCTAATTGTATCCGAACATCTGCGGTCCCTCCGGTAAGTACCGATCGCACAAGGATAGAAATTATTTTCATTCATTTTTTAATTGTATATGAAACTTGAAATCTTATGGATCGTATATTTTTATACGATCGCCTTCCCATATCAGTTAGCCCAGCCCAAAAATTTGTTTTTACAGCTAAAATAAGAGTACTTCTTCTTCAAGTGCCGTCTTCGTTCCGAAGTTTGGCTATCATCAAAGCTATGCGTATTTTGATGCTGCAGATCTAAACAGTTGGTAATTGGTGCAATTGTACCATTCTCTCAAGTTTTTCAACCATGAATGCCTTCTTCTTCCTATAGATCTCTTTCCCATTATCTTTCCCTGTATAATCAATTGCAGCAACTGGTATTTATCTCCCCTCATAACATGTCCCAAATATTGTAGTTTGTGCTTTTTAACAGTAAGTATTAGCTCTTTCTCTTTCCGCACTCTCCGCAAAACCTCCACATTTGTTACTTTCTCTGTCCAGGGTATTCTTAATATTCTACGATACATCCACAACTCAAATGCTTCTATCTTTTTGGTATCGATCTTTTTCAATGTCCATGTTTCCATCCCGTAGAGGAGAACTGACATAACGTAACATCTCAAAAGGCGAATTTTAAGTTTTAGACTTAGATCTCTTCCGCAGAACACCTTTTTCAATTTAGTAAATGTGGCCTCTAGCTTTCTCTATTCTGGTTCTGATGTCTTCAGAGCAATCATTATTTTCGTTGATAACAGTTCCCCAGGTAATTATATCTTCTTACACGTTCGATTCTTTGATCATGCACGGTTATGTCAGGGAAGTTTTGTGGTGATTTAGATATTAGCATTATTTTTGTTTTGCTTATGTTAAGTGATAATCCGTGTTCTTCACTGCAAAAATTTGTTTTTACAGCTAAAATAAGAGTACTACATAAAGTTTATTTATTATTTGTGTAACACTAACACAAGTGATATCTGTTAAACCAGTAAAACCAATAACTACATCGAATAAACTTAAACAGGAGACATGCAAAAAATATACAACATCGTCACAGAACCGATTTGAAAGTTTATCATTTTGGTAACAATATCAGTTCTATCCTTTATAACCCTCAAAATTCTTTTGAGGTATAGTTTTAACTAAGACTTCTTAAAATTATCTAATTGGACTCAACTAATTTTGATACATTCCTTTCAGATGACAGAAAAAATGCGCCACTTTGATAAAAAGTTTTATGAAAATACTGTGCCTAGCTGGACCAATAAGAGCGTAAGATCTAATATAAATGAAAAATATCCTGAGAGCTTATCACGAGGATCTCTGATCGACTTAACCGCGATAGTTAACTTACCACCTGTACCTGAAGACATTCCCACAGGTTTTTTCAAAAAACCAACCAGATCTTCTAGTTTATCATCTTTAAAAAGTATGAGGGAAGGTGAGTTTTCTGTTTTCTACATATCGCTATTTTATATCTATGTTTCTAGTAGGAATGGTAGATCAATATTCTGTCAAATAATCAGATATTAACAATAAATATAAGATTATTAGAAGGAATGTGCTAATCGGGAAGTTAAAAAGAAAATAAGTAAGTCCAGAAGAAATATCGATTGTCCTTCCCAATAACACTAAATTGGTAGATAAAACTACAGATACAGAAACAAAACTAGAAAAAGATGATTAGGATAATTACTAAGAAAGCAAGCAAAAGAAGTAGTGAAGATACAAAATATCCTATAAAAAAAATACATCCATAATGAATGAGCAAATAAATTCCAAATAGTAATCAATAATTGTGAGAGAAAACAGGGAAAATAGCAAACCGGAGGAAAAAAAAGTAGAAATAAGTCACATCATTCTGGCTTTATAACCCTGCGTTGGTCCTAGCCTCCTCAAGAATTTCTCTCCAGTCGTCCCTATCCATCGCCATCCTCCGTCAAGCATGCATTGCAATATTTCTCAGGTCTTCATCGATGTTATCAAAGAAACTTGTTCTGGGACTTCCTCTTCTTCTCTGCCAATGGGACCATTAAGGAGCGTTTTTCTAAATGGGTCATTTTGTTCTATCTGCATTACATGCCCCATCCACCTCAGATGTCCTATTTTAATATGTTGTATGATAAATATGGTTCCTGGTATATTCTATAAAGTTCGAAGTTGTATCGTCTTCTCTACACTCTATTTTCATTTACCGCTCCATATATTCACCTTAGTACTTTTCTTTCGACACATCCTAACATGATTACATTATCTTTTGTTAGAGTCCAGGTCTCTGAACCATATGTTAGGACTGGGCGTATTATTGTTTTGTAGAATTTTACATTGGTATTTCTCGATATAATTGAGGATTTAAGAAGGGGGTAGAGCCAAAATAGCGTCTGTTGACCGTACAAATTCTGCTGTAGTATTATTTTCAGTATTAACGAACGCTCCCAGGTATATAAATTTCTTCACAGCTTCGATGACGTCGTTTTCTATAACAAGTGGTCATAGGATTTGTGATTGTGACTTATTTCCATAACAAGTCACATATTACAATATAAAAAATATGATAAAGCAGAGGACCCGGGAACTGAAATGTAGGCAAAGAAAAATTTGCGGTATATTTTTTACGTTTTTAAATTGACACCATGTATTAAACACATAAATGCCGGTTTCTTATATTCCAATGATTTGCGTTTTATTTGAGTTACTGTTACATTTTCTAAATATATAATTATCTTCAGCATATGTTAATATTGCGTAGGTGAAGCTATTCTTACAAAAGGCAGAAAACTCTGATGATGATGATAGTTCAGATATAGATGATCAGGACTATGTAAGAAGTTCAACTGGTGACGTGAGAACCAAAGATTCATTGGAAGATGATATCAAACAGTTACCTGTTTCAAGCAAAAAATTGCTTGGAAATATAATGGAAGAGACAAAAGTCGAAGATTATTAAGGTATTAATTGTAGACTATTTATAATTACATGTTATGTATAGAATACATTATAATAAAATTATTTTCCTAAAGATAATTGCATTCTACTTCTTAGTACATTACAAACCGGAAATATTTTCAAAATAGATTATTTAAAACAAAATAGTGAGGTGTTATTATAACCAAAAGTTGTTGAACAACCATATCAAGGAAACTACAGAAATAACATTTAAAGTAGTCAACAATGAAAACAAATACCGAAACGGCCATCTTTGTTAGTCGATAAGACACACTACACAATATTTGTAATTTGTTACATTATTGCTTCTACCCTCTATATACGCCCTCACTATTTGAAGAACTTTATAAAGTTATTAAGAATTGGCAGACAATATAAATACACCATTGTCTCTTAGAAAACAATTTGGGAGTATACAATAACGGATTTATGACTCATGTTAACAAGTGCTTGTTTACTTGGTGTCAGGTACCTAATTTTATTATTCTTGATTTTATTCGAACTTAAAGCAAGTCATTTGTTGTCGATTGAAAAATTGTCAGAGATAATTCGATTCCACAGCAATAGACATCAATTTGTACAATAGTTTACAAATAAAATTGTTAAAACCTAAGTGCTGTGAAACATAAACTAAAAACTGTGAGTCTCGCTGAGAAGTTAAAAGTGAAAGCATTGAAGGGCTGTCAAAAGAAGAAAGATGTTGCTGAGCAATTTGGCCTAACAATGAGTACTCTGTCAATGATAATAAAAAATTAATCAGATATCAGGATAAAAATTCTTAACAGTCAATACTTGTCTTATGACGAATTGCAGAATCTCCGGACTTAAAGAAGTGTTTACTTAAATGGTTTGAGCAGTGTCGTAGCGAAAATATCAGGGTTAGTGGACCCCTGTTACAAGACGAAACCGAAATATACTCTAAATTAAATAATTAAGAGTGGTTATTCAGGGTTAACATTGAAAGTAAGTAAGTGTTAACATTAAAACCTGTAAAAAATGGAAAAGTGAATTGCATGGTACATGGCGTGATACATGGTTACAAACCTGATAACATCTTAAAAGATGCTGATGAAACAGGACTGTTTTTAATGTCTTCCTGATAACACTCTAACTTTTAAAAATGATAAATGATAAATGCCATGGAGGGAAACATAGCACGGAATGTTTGACCAATTTGCTAGCAGCCAACATGTTGAACACAGAAATACTCTCACCATTAGTGATATAACTATGTAGCTTTGAAATATGAGTCAAATAGAAAATATTGATAAAAAAATTGCCAAAGAAAAAAGAATGCACTGTTAATGCACTCTTGTTACTTATTGATACTTGTACAGTGTATAATGATATTCCAAATGAAAGCAATTAAAATCCAATATCTACCCACCAATATAACATCAAAATTACAGCCAATGGATCATTAAAAACTTCAAATCATTATATTGAAAAGAAGTTGTCATGAACATTTGAATAATATGGAAGAAAAAAATAATTCTACTATAGATGTATTGCAACCTTTGATAATGGTTGATAAAGCTTGGAGTCAAATGTAACCATGACTACAACAACAAACTGTTATGTACACTGTGGTTTTCCATTAACGGCATTATCAACAGAAGAAGCTGAAAATGAAAATGTTTCTATTTCACCACCTGCAGAATGTCTGTGGTGTCTGAATCAAGAATACCCTTTGAGGTCTTTGTTACATGCGATGATGTGAGTTACGACTGCTGGGACATTATCTGATGATGAAAGTATTGATTTAGTAGCTCATAAAATAGATACTAATCATTTAGGTGACACAGACGACATGAATAATATGACATGCACTCCATGGGTTACAATCAAACAGACAAGAATAGCATTGAATAATTTACAGAATTTTATAGAACAAACAAGCTACAAACCAATGCTATAGATATGAAAAAAATAAAAATAGTACTTATAGATTTCATATAGAAATAAAAAAAATTGTAGAATTTTTATTTATTTTATCTCTTAAACACAACATTAGTAAGAATGACTTTCAACCTGATTATGTTGAATCAAAATTTGCCATAATCCGCCTGAAGTCGATATCCTCCATAAGTTGAAAACCCTATAACTTAAATTTTTTCACATCTCCCTTGAAGTTCGACTCATAGAGGTTCAGTTGTATCATTTAATCTACTTCCCTAATCCTATTAAATTGACTTTTTAGTCTTGTTCCAGGTTCTCCTAATTATTCCAACACTTTAACAGTATGCATTGCTGCTTTACATTTTTGAAAAAATCTAATAAGGATAAAACTGATCAACATAATAGCAAACAAAAGGAAATTTTGAAATACATATAACAAAATGGGTAACAATGAAAATTGAGAAGCCTATGAAAGAAATAAAAAAGTAGAGTAAATTTAGTAATGCCAGTTAATAAATAAATACCTAATATAAAAGAAGCACAGAATAAAATTCAGAGAATAGGTATTCTAGAAAAGTTAGTAGATCTCCCTATATACAATAAAAATTGGAGCCAACTATGGTGTTGACTTATCATTAGCATACGTTACAGCGTAGCAGCATCTTACCTTTATATTCATAGTTATAGATGTGGGTCTATCTTTAATTTGAAATGGATGATGAAATGGTTTGTCTGTATCACTGTCACTATCATCCCCCTCTGAAAGACTAGACAATTCTCCCAATTCTTCCTTCCTTGAAAGAGTTTTACAAAAATCAGTCAATTCCTCAATAGTTTTCCCACCAGATTTAATAGCCGCAATAACCTTTTCCTGTGCCTGAGGTCCTAGAGTTAAAGCAGCAGGTAGACTTCCTGATTTCATCATTGTTATTGCATTCCGTCTAGCAATTTCCAAAAGTTTTTTCTTGTCAAATTTAGAGTCTCTTTCATTGGAAGATGATCTATGCTTACTTCTTGAATCATAGCCTCTGTACCTGAATAAAAAACATTCATAAAATAATAAATAATCCAAAAATTCAAATTACAATATGTACCTATCTCTCATAAACCACTTTTCATTTGTATCTTCTCTTTTGTAAAAGTCATCATCTTTATGTCTTCCCTTGGACCTCCTGTAGTCTTCTAAGTCTCGAGAATATTCGTCCCTATATCTGTCCCTTGATCTCTGACGCTCCCTATGCCTGTCTTTAGTTCTATCTCTTCCATCATAATAATCCCTTTCTTTGTCTTTATCCTTATCTCTACTTCTACTTGTGTCCCTATGTCTTTCTTTATCTCTGTCTCTAGTGTGTTCTCTATCCCTACTATGTCTCCTATGCCTGTCTTTTTCTCTGTCTGATGTATCTTCTATTTTGGATCTCTTTTGTTTATCTTTGTGGTCCCTACTTGTACTTCTTGATCTCTTTTTAGAGTGACATTTATGTTTCTTTTTCTTATGTTGTTTTGAACTATTTGAATCTGTGGAAAGTTCACCTAGAATAAAATATGTATATACAATATATTTAAAAACTGGTGCCATTTTAAAAATCAGAATAATCATAAAATATTTAAAAATTAAATAAACAAAAAAGTTAAAGAACTAACCAGAAATAATAACCTGGAATAGATAATCTCCCAACTGAACTACAGTAGTCTCTCTTTATAACGATTCCCTATATAACGATAATTCCTCTATAAACGATGAAAATAGTAAACGTTGGTTGGTTCGTCATAAGGACAATATATTAATTCTTTCTCTATGCCGATATCGTTCCCTCTTTATAGCGATGACTTTTCAGCATTCAATAGTCGATGGCAAATGTGTTATTGTGCTTAAAGTTCAGACTACCTGCGTCACGAGTGGCAAGGTCAATGTTCAGGGTTGTTTTGTTTTGCGCTTAAGGAAATGCGGCCAGTCATTCTACTCATTCTCATCAGAGGACTAAGTGACTCGATTTTATTAATTCGGGCACCGTTATCACACAGATGGTTGTCATCTATTGACGACTTTTCATTTCCAGTTTGAGTTGTGTCTCAGTGTTTCAACAGTCAACATGTTTTCGAAAAAAGCGTAAAGTGCTCTCGGTGGAGAAAAAGTTATCTATAACTCGAGCAATAGAGAAAGGTGAAAATCAATCGGATGTCTTTCGTCGTACGGGGCTGTCTCAGTGAACAGTGGCTATGATATGAAAGGATATGAAGCGATAGCAGAAAGAAGTTGGGGAAACTTCAGCATGAAGATTTAGATCGCGCTATGCTCCAGTAGTTCCAGCAGCAAGGTGTGAATCATATTCCACTGTGTGGGCCCGTGGTCAGGGTAAAAGCTGAGTTTTTGTAACTGAGCTTGAAATTGAGCATTTCAAGGCATGTGAGGATTGGCTGAGCAAGAGGAAGCTGCGGAACAAAATCAACTACAGCCAAATTAGCAGAGAAGCTCGCGATGTTAACAAAAACGTAACAGATAAACTGACTAGAAAACGTGTGGCCTAGACTGGAGGCACGATATCAGTGAGACGACATTTTCAATGCTGATGAGAACTGGATTGTTTTTTAAAATGACACCAAAAAGAACTTTAAAATTAAATCGGAAAAATTCGTTGGTGGAAAGCTATCTAAAGAACGTATTACAGTTTTAGTGGCCGCTAGTGGCCGACAGGTTCGGTGAAGCGAAAATTATTAGTGATAGGGAAGTCGAAAAACCAATGTTGCTTTAAAAACAGAAAATCTACCAGTGACCTATAAAGCAAACAAGAGTGCGTGGATGACTTCGAAAATGTTTGAAAAAGCGATAAGAAAGTGGGATATCGAGCTTAAAGAGAAAAACATTCTTCTGCTTGTAGACAATTATCCTACTCATCCTGTACTGTGCGACCTTCAAAACATGAATTTTGTTTTGTGCCAGCAAACACGCCCATGGACCAAAGTGTCATCAAGAGTTTGAAAAGCCATTACAGGAGAAGAATTTCGATGGAATTGGTTGAGAATAATGGCGATCTTAACGCAATCATAATGATGTCACAGTGATCCGGAAGTGAAAGCAGAGCCAGAACTAGCTCCGACCCCTCAGCAGGCATTGCAAGTACTGCATCGATTTCTTCATCCACTAGGAAGACGAGTGCTGTAGACAATTATATGTGTCTTCAGGACAAGGTCAGGTCAGTTCTGTAAAAGGAGACAGACCAAAGTGACAGACTTTTTTGTTAATGTAGGCTAAATATATTTTACAGTAAATATTATTTTGTTATTGTACAGTACACAAGTTTTAATTGTAAAGTCATTTTTTTTATACTGTATTGCTTATATTATTATTTAATAAATCTATGTGGTGTACAATACAGTGTTAATTCATTTATATTCGTTTTGATAAATTTTTTAAATTAAAATATGTTATTTCGTACAGTATTATTTATATTACAGTACCGAATTTAACCTCTCTCTGTATAAACGATCTCTCCTTATAAACGATGAAAATTCCTGGTCCCCTTGCACATCGTATATAGAGAGAGAGGACTGTATTTAAAGAAGGTGGCCACTGCACCATAATGGCATTACAGCAGCTCATAAAAGAAATATGGACACAAAAACCTCTTTCCTTTGATTGGAATACTTTGCACCATACACAAAAAAGGAGATATCCATAAATGCTTTAACCACAGAGGTATTACGCTTCTAAATATAGCATATAAAATATTTTCACAGTACTATGTTACTGTATAGCACCATATGCAGAACTGATAGTAGGACAATACAAGGCTGGTTTCAGATGTGGTAAATCGATAATTCATCAGATTGCAATCCTGAGACAAATTTTAGAAAAACCACTGGAACATGGCATAGATAATCACATATTTATAGACTACAAAGCAGCCTACAACTCTGTGAATAGAAGAGATAGATAGAAGAGAAATGTTCAAAACGATTAAAGACCTAGGAATGCCAAATAAGTTTGTAAATTTATCTAAACTAACTCTTGAAACAGTTGAATGTATAGTATGAATTCAGGGACAGTCTAAACCTAAAACAGATAACGGGCTGCTCCAGGGAAACCCTCTCTCCTGTATACTGTTCAATCTGGCTCTGGAAAAAGTAATATGTATGTCACAAATCACAACCATTGGTTCAATATATAATAAAATACATCAGTGCAAATCCTTGCCTATGTTGATGATATCAATATTGTTCAGAGAATTGGCATTAAAAGAATCAGCTACAAAATGGGTTTATTATTAAACACCCACAAAACAATGTATGAAAATTAGCACACAACCACAAATCCTGTGACCACTTGTTATAGAAAATGACATCACTGAAGTGAATGAAGTGAACAAATTTGTATACCTGGGAGCCCTCCTTAACACTGAAAATAATTATACTGCAGAGATAAACTGCAGAATTTGCATGTCAACAGATGCTATTTTGGGCTCAATCTCCTCCTTAAATCCACAATTATATCAATAAATACAAAAATAAAACTCTACAAAACAATAATATGCCCAGTTCTATCATATGGTTCACAGACCTGGACTCTTAATAAAAAGTAATGAAAACATGTGATGTTTTGATAATGATAACATAGATTTAGACATGAGAAATATGGAAATACATGCTTGGAAAGTTGATGGATGACTGAAGAGAAGTTCTTGAGGAGGCTAAGACACACGGAGGATTGTAAAGCCATAAGTACATTAGGGAAATTACTTAAGTTATTATATAAAAGTTGGACATTATCATATATTGATCTGTGGTAAGATAAGAAAGAAGATTCCTAAAAAGGCCAAGATAGAGGAAGCAATTTCTTGTTCATCAAACTATATGTAGTACAATTATTTCACTGTTGAATAATAAAGATAATATAAGTAAAATAAAAAAAGTTTAGGAGAAAATAAAAGTAAATGATGAATGCATACCTTCCTCGACATCAATTTTCTTCTTGATTTCATTTATGGCTGAATCAAACAAGGATTTAAATTTAATATCTTTAATAATAATTTTATGTTTATTAGTAGAACTAGGCTTTATTACTTCCTGAACTTCTTTTTCTTTAGAGTTTTTCTTTTCTTTCTTAATATCACCTTCATTATTCTCATCTGCACTTTCTATCCTATTTTTCTTCAGCTCTTGTTTTATCTTCATTTCTGCAATTTCTTTTTCTTGTTTGATTAGGATTTGTGCCAAATCCATTTTGTCTTCTTTTTCAGAGAGACTTGATGAACTACTAACAGATCTTTTTCTTTTCTTATCTTTTTTCTTGTGTTTTTTTTCTTTGCTCTTATGCTTTTTCTTTTTCTTATGCTTTTTGTTAGATTCCTCTGATTTTTCTTTTTTTACTATAACTGGGGGTTCTGCATGAAATGTGCTGAAAAGTTCTGACAATATTTCCATGGAAGATTTTTGAGGAAGGTCTGCAATTTCAGGCTTTTGTTCTTTTTCTTCTTTAATAGAAAACATTGTGATCTAAAAAACTAACTACACTCGTTGAGAAATTAATAATAGTATTTCAAAAAATTAAAAACTTGTATATTATGGAATATTAAACAAACAATGTCATACATAAGTTTGGTTGGGCATATGTCATGTCACAAATTATATTCTTCTTTTTAGTATAACCACAGAATACTAAGTTGTGATTAGTGTTCTGTGGTATAACCAGAGAACTACGAACGCAGCAACGAGATTTTTTGAGAGCTATAATTTGGATTTTTTGACAATTATATTGGGAATTATTTTATGGATAGTCTTTTGTTCAGCCTCTGTCCGCTGTTTTTGAAGTTATACTTCTATACGCACGGTCGGCGTTGGAAATTTGCATGAGAGTGAATCTGTGAAAACATTACATATGTAAGATAATGAATAAGAGAGAGACAGAAGATATATTTTCTCTCCCTTCCTCTCTCGAAAATAATTTTTTTTTTTTGTATATATATTTAAATATTATACTATATTTATATATAATTTAATATTTTTAATAATTTTAAAATAAATGAAAATTTACAACATAATCCGAGTTGTTGGTTTTTATATTTATCTTCGTAAAGTAAGTTATTGGCAGTTTTAAATACTTATGAATATTGCATTTTAATTTATATTGTATTATTATATTGAATTATGTTGCATTGTATTTATTGTATTGTAATTTTTATATTAATAACAAAATAAACAATGAATGAATACTGTAGAGTTGTGTAAAAATATGTTTTTGCATTCAACTCCTTTTATACACATATGAAAATAAATATATATATATATATATATATATAAATATAATATAATATATATATATATATATAAAATATATATATTTTCATTAAAATATTGATACAATCCTTACTTTACTATACTCCTATAGATAACGATACACCATATACCTATATAACTAATTATTTTTCTCTTTCTGCTCTCTGTTACCTATAGCATTACATATGTAATGATTGTGCAGATTGGCTCCTATATAAATTTGTAACGGCGAACGCGTGTATAGAAGTCTACCGGAAGTCCCACTGGACTGCTACAACCCGTTTTTTTTATATGGAGCAACACAACCACGTCTATTCTATGGGGATCTTCAGACGATTATAGAGCGAGCAACTGTATAGAGCCGTAAGTTTTTTTAAAATATACAAGGTGAATCTTTACTTGGTGACTTTTTATATTGAGCCAGAGGTTGAGGGTTACGTGGAACTACAGGTTAGTGACTTTTAATATTTTCCAATATAAAGAGTGTTATATAGATTAAGCTCATTTTTTTTTGTTTTCTCAAAGACAATTTAATAATGTTCCTTCTTATCTGTTTTTGTAAGATAAATTGCTATTTAGTTTTTTCTAGATCATATAAAACTGTTTTAGTCTTTTTAGTTAGTGTACGAGATATCTCTCGATGATCTCTTTATTTTTTGAGTGGTATATGATTTTATTTTGCTAACAGCAAAATTTTGCTAAATAAGTGCTATTTTGGTTTTCCTCTAAAGCACTACATTCTACTGTAATCCTATTCAGTTACTTAAAGGCAACACCTGAAGCCATACTAAAGTATCATGTAAAAATCTTTTACGTAAAGCTTATAGACAAGATTTATTATGTTTAATTATTTCAATTTAGTAGTAAAATTTTTAATTTTTTTATTTATTTATGTACAATAAATATCATTAGTTAATATCTTATAACTCAGTTTTCACATTTACTTTGTAACATTTTTTTTTATAATTAAAATATTAATTATTTTTATTCCTTTTACCCCCGTGATGATACGCTCATGGTCGGTTTACCATCTTCAAAATTTTATTGAATGCACGGAATTTCCCGGAGTACGAAAGGTTTTTAATCCTTTCCCTTGTAATCCTGTGTATGAATGGAACTAAAATCTTTCCGGCTTTAAGGTGGGTTTATGTTTGATATTTTGGCAAACAAAATCGTCGAAGGCATTTTATAGTATGTTCGGTAAAAACCCAATCGACAAGGTTTATATTTTATCACGTTCCTAGCTAGAAGTGTACCGTTAGTTTATATGCTCGTTAGAATCTTACCTTACTGTCCATACCTTACTTAGTGTCCATATACCATAACCTTACTGTCTTTGTGTTATCGTACCGTTCTCTGTGCATTTTTCTTTATAAGTGTGTATACACTTGTACATTTGAGTTTTTTTGATCTTATAATATATTAGATTAAATATAGTTATAAAGTACCTTTAATTTTTATTAACGTCAGTGTTGGATACAAGTAAAGTATTAAGTATAGTAGGTATATAGCTTCAGTGCAGTACCTAGTCATCAAGATTTATTGTAAGTAATCATTATCTTCAATTATCTGGGCAAATAATATGGTATGATATCATATCATCTTCCATTTTCTGGACGAATCTAAAGTCATCCATTTTCTTCACCTGTAGTTGAGAGTAACTAACTGAATTTTGCATTCAATTTAAATTTGCTATAATTGTTATACATTTTTAACCCCAATATCCCGAGATATGCTCATTAAACAGCAAAGGAGAGGGACTTTCTTTAATCAACTTTAGTAGAATATTTTTATATAGCATTAGACTCTCTTCGCTGATAATTGAACCTGTTCATTATATTGTTGTATTTGTAAAGGTACTTATTATTCATATGACTGCTTATTTTTATATGTATACCACCATTTCATAGTTGAGTGTATTTTTATCTTGTGTGTAGATTTAGCTACCGATATCATTTTGTTGTTGAATATATTATTTTTGTTTTATGTGCGCAATTTATTTGTCGACTCCTAACAAGTTTCCTGATATAACGATAACTCTGAATATTTGCATTTTTACCTTTAAATATTACTATACCTTTGACCAGAAGAAAGATCAACCTGCTTTAGTTTCTTAGGTAAGTAGGTGTAATACCTAATGTATTCAGTATTTGTTTATATAGTGGGTTGACCAAATTTATTTAATAATTAACTGTTGATATCTATTCTTGAGTTTGGTCTCTGAACCTAAATATCTTTCCTTACCTCTTTTCTTTTCTAAGGTTTCCTAATTTTCCTCCTTAAACCCCAAAAAATTGAGTAGCACCCGTTTTCTATCTTATCGTATCTTTGGTAATTTTACCCATCTATCTTTTTATTTATTTCTGTATCTTTTCTCATATATCTTATCTTGTTCTATCTTTACTTATTTCGTCCGTTGGACCCATTCTCGGTTCAAAAAGCTAGTTTCGAACCCACGACTCGCTCTCCACTAACCATCTGGCTGCCGTCCGCAGTGTTTCCATTGGTGACCTTTCTAGCACCATCCAAAGAGGTTTCCGAGGTTACAACTTTTAAGACGTTCTTACACCTGAGAGACTAAGCTAAATGAGACCTAACAATTTAATTCCAAATGATAGTTGTGAGATTTATTGTTCTACACTGGCTTCCAATTTTCAGAGGGTGGCACCTCTGAAAGCATATAGTTACCCATTGGCACCCTTCCTTTCTGATGGGTCGTCCAAAGGTTACATATTGGCGCCCAATGTTTCTGATGGGTCGTTCAACGGATACATATTTTTAAATATGACTAGTTATTTATATTAATTGCGAATTTCATTTTTTATCTTCTATAAATTTCCCACGCTAAAATTGGTTATTTTCGTTTCTTTTTATCAAACTAGAGAATCACTTACGATCGCTTTACCACAAGTCTGTGGAAAAATAATTAATTACCCCAAAAGGCTCGAGATAACAGCTTTAAAGATTAAGAATTATTTAATTTATTACATCTCTTAAACGGTAGAGCTCGACGTTCGAAAATATTCCCACAGGGTTTCATCCCACGCATCTCCACATAGAGTATTCGTTCCTGCACAGGGATAAGAGCTGAGTAAAAGCTCGTGCCACAAGCCTCTACCGTTAAGTCAAAATAACATTATTTCCTGCCGTCGAAGACGTCTTTACTGCAACGCGACACACACAGTTTTGACGCTGTTCTTCGTACATGACACCTAGAACATTCAAAAGGGGTACGAATGTTGGTGTGATGATAATAATTTATGAGTTATGCCAATCGATTTTTTTCTTATTTACAATCATAAATTTCAATGATTTTTCACAGGTTTAGTTAATTAACCAGTTATTTCTAATATTTTCTACTTAACCAGTCCTTTGTGAGCAAAAGCCTTCTTTTTAGAACCTTCCCCATTCCGTCCTATCTCTAGCAAAGTCTTCTCTATCCTTCAACTTCGATGGATTTTATTTATTTTCGATTAAGTCGAGTATTAGTAGGTACTGCGATAAATAGTTTATACCATTTTGAATAATGTTTTTATTTTATTTTAGAAGATAAATCGCTTTTTTCTCTTCAATCTCTACGGAGCTATTTATGAGTGTCACAAAAACAACTCGGTCCGTATCCAAGAAAGGACTCATTAAATCTGATTATAAAAGCCTGTGAGTACAAAAACAAACAGCAAGAATAAAAAACCAAAGTAATTTTAAAAACAAATCTATTTAGGCAAAAGTACAAATGATCAAAAACGTCTATGATTACTTAACCACCACTAGAGATAGATATAAATAAAAATTTAACAATTGAATACCACTAAACCGCCTGTTAAAGAATAAATCTTTCTTTCCGAGAAAACTCACACAACCTTTTCTGTACATTTCTGTGCAGTTTTTTCCATTATTTTCTCGAAAAACCCATAAGATCTTTCTCTTATTAAGACAGCTAAACATTAGAAACTAAATATCACGTTTACATGAAAATACATTCACATTGATGATTTACTGGTATATTATAAGGTAGGTCACAGATTATTTTTCCAATAATTGTTTTTTCTATTCTAAGTCCAAATTCACCGAAATATTCTGCTTTGCAGCAATGCAATATAATTTCAACTCCATTTTTATATTTTTATACAACGCAAAATGATATTTTTGTAGCAGTTAAAAATGACGTTTTTTTTCTATTTGAAAATAATTCTAGATAAGTCTTCCTTATTTGTCTGGCAATCGTAACCAATTCTAGCATATACTTGCCTACTTCCACACAACCTACTCAATAGCCTCATTTTCTACAGAAATAGGTTCATGCAGTTTTTCCTGCCATCTACCAAACTTTTTTCACGTTTGGTAGATCGAGACGTTAGGACAGAAACCGAAAAATAGTCTGTGGCCATCATTTGGTACATTTAGTATTAATTATATACTAAGGTGGACACAATTTCCAAAAATATTAACATGGTATTTTTAAAACAGCCACTATGTTCTTAAGTAGAGCAAAAATCAATTTATTATCTTGGGTAATTTTTCGTTTCTCGGATATTGCATCAGGAAATGTGATATTACGTAGTAAAAATAGATTTTTATTAGATACGGTTGTGATAAGAACAAACTTGGATAAAAAAGTCTGTATGTAGCAATAACGTATTATGTTCGAGTTTTCTACTCGCTTTACTGTTTTCTCCTGTAGAAAAATAGTAAATAATATTGCAATTAAGTTTTTGGAGTTTTTAAGCTATCTTTAAATATTATTTTTCTATTTAAATTTAACTGATTCTTTATATTTCAGATATTTCAGACACTGGACCTCTCCGAAGAGAATAGAGGGGGAGTCTACAAGTGGCAGAAACCACCATATTATTTACCCCCGGGAAAATTTACCGTGATTGAAAACAAAACCACCTCTGCAATCACTAAATGACAGTTCTTAAATGGGAAAAATGTCTTAAAATCCGTTGACATTCAAAGAAGAAAGCACGATACCACTTTGTCTAAGCATTAACATTCTTCTTTTATTGGCGATCGTCCTGTTGTTGACGCTTAAGTTTCTTAACATTATCCATTATGCGCAGATATACAGGTGGTTTAGGGCGGAAAACTTCTTATTTCCCGCGTAAATTTCTCCCAGTGTCTTGAACACGTGCTAAAAATTAATAAAAAGCAAAAAATCTACCTGCCACTTTTAGATTAAAGACATATTCGATATTCATATTTAGAGAGCAAAACTGATTTTTAACGAACAGTAAGAGAGATAGAGAGAGAAAACCAACTAATCATATTATGGAGCTCCAAATCTCAAAATAAGGTCTATAATCTTTAAACAGTGTCAAAATCTCATGAAAGATGAAATGCCTGAGCAAAACTACGTGTATTTTGTACCCAACAGTAATAAATTGATTATTTATTTTGATTCACATCAATTTTTAAAAATTTTAAGTGGCAAATCTAAATGATTCAATTATAAAGACCAAAATTCGTGTTCTACTAAATCAAATAACTAGTCTGCCGGCAGACGATGATTCTGTTCAAACATACATGGCTAGATGAAGTTACCATTTAGTTTTACCACTCTTTCAGAGCAAGTCACTTACGATTTTTTTATCAGTCTCTTCAATATAACTTAGGGTTTTGTCACAGATACACACAATTTGTAGTCGTTAAAGTCTTTTAACATAAATAAGATATATTTATTTCAAATTTTAACATGAAAATATCAAGGTTCTATGTAACTATACATGTATTACTTATAATTTTTGTGTTCTGAGATTGTATCTCAGCGTTACCGGATGTTCTATCAAAAAGTTTTTTTAATGCTAAACTATTCATAAAATTAGTAAAAATTTCAAATTGTACAAGTAACATCCGGACGCAACTCAAAAATTTTAGTAACATTTTCAGTGTTTACTACAATCACGACTACTGTATATTGTTTCACTATCATTCACTAGCATTCCTATTAATAATCCTTCCTGTACAAGATCGTGGCCTCATCATAGTCTTCTTTACGTTGGTCTTTGTCTCCCCATCCCCAGATTTCGTGGGTTCCATCTCCGGTACGTTGTACTCTTTTTTTGATCATGTCCATGGAGACGGTTCTTAGATCGTACGCCCAGCCGATCTTAGCGAAGAAGTCAATGAAGGCTGCTGAAAGGTTGGTACTGTATTTGCCTAATTCGGAAGTTTTGTAGTCCCATGGGAAGGTATGGTGGTAGTTATGCCAGCCTTCACCTAAGGCGAAGATAGAAACAGAGACGTTTTCGGAAGGGTTAATGAATCTGAAACAATACGTAAAAAACATAAATAGATGTATGATTTTGGAGTTTTCATACATAGACATAATTAACATTTTCACATTATATCTGCATGCATCTACATGCCAAGGTATACGTAAGATTCTACATGGTCAATTAGTATGTTGTTTATCTTTAACTGTCGAGCAGGTTATTAATTTTTACTTATCAGCATTCATCTTGTCTTCTTGAAGTTAAGGTTCAGGCCTCAATGACTGCATTAATTAAGCCTTTCCATTTACTGTTGTAATTTATCTATGCTACTGGCAAGGATCACCGTGTCATCGGCAAGTCTCACCCTTGCATTTCCCTCTGTTGCATTTTCCAGACATTTAGAAATACTTAATCGGAGTAGATATTTAAGATGAGTGGGGTTAAGATACACCCCTGTCGGACACCTTCCTTGATCTCCACACTTTCAGTAAATTCATTACATATTTTTACTCTTACTGTTTGATGACACAATAGGTTTGCAACAATCCGAATATCATATATCCTTAATACCTGCTTTCGTAGAATATCTATCAGTTGATCACGATTGACACTGTCAAATGTTTTTCTAAAATCTACAAACCATAAGCACACACCATTATTAACGTCTCTGTCAAGCTTATAAGTCGGTGGTTATTACAGAGTTGGGCATATGATTTCTTCGGGATTGTAACAAATGTTGACTGTAGCCAGTCCTCCGGGATATTTCCGCTATTATATATGTTGTTCAAAATTGCAACTAGATTATAGAGAAAATTGTTTGTCTAAAAATTGTTTGATAGAATGTCCGGTTTCTCCTTCTTCATATATCTGATCATCATTTTTGCAGAATGCAAATAATTTTTCTATGTAGGATTTCCGGGTTTCCAAGATTCTTGATAGCTCCAAAATCAAAAAGGCTTCCATCGCTTCTTTCATACTGTTGGGTGATTTATTGAATTTGATCGTGTTTGTCATGGATTTTACTTTTTTTGTGCAAATTGTAACTATAATTTTAGCTTCTGTATTGTTCCATTTCACTGCATTCGTTGTCACTTGAAAGGTATCTGGCTTCTCGCATTTTTATTTTTGAATTTACGTCTTTCGTTCATTATATCCAGTATCTCATCGGAGATTCTATATTTTTTTCTTATGTCTGTCACACTTTAAAAGAGTCGTGCATGTTGTATGTACAGCTTCCCTATAGTGTGTTTTATTGTATTAGAGATTTTTTCTCATGTCGTTTTACTCATCATCAACATTCTACCTCAGAAATTAGTTGCAGTCAACATATCTTTCTTACGTTTGTATTGTATCCTTGAGCAATATAAAAACTAAGAAATAATCAAGTAGGTATCTAAATGATTAACAAAACAAAAGCAAGCTTTGATACATGTTTGAAATATCTCATAAATAGATTAAATTATTTGTTTTTGTACTTACTTATCATAGGGTTTGTCACCCCACATGTGTGCAGCAGAATTAACTAACCAAGTAGCGTTCAGTGTGAATACATATCTGAAAATGTTGACACAAAAAGCATTGAAGAAAGTTTCGTTCCAGAAGTACATTGGTATCATGGTGGGAATTACGAAGCAGGTTAAAGGCATGAGCAAAAGGTAGTGTTTGTCCTGGAAAGCCAAAATAGGATCCTGTTCCAGATCGGACATGTCGATTCCTTTACCTTTGCTCTTGACTTCAGGATGTTTGCGACAGAGTAGCCAACCAATGTGAGAGAAGAAAAATCCTCTTTTGGCGTTGTGCGGATCTGCGTCGGTTTCACTAAATTTGTGGTGTACTCGGTGGTCTCTGGACCATTCTATCACTGAGTTCTGAAAATGATTAAAGTATATTAGTAAAATAATGTATTTTAATATTCAAATCATGAATGTGTTGCCTATGTAAGTCCATTTCAAATAGGTAAAAAAGAAATAAATAAGACTTATTCACAATCAGTTTAATTTAACTACCTAGACGACCGGTATCGCTTTCTACAATTTGCAAACCATCTTCAGGTCAGTCGGTACAAAGTTAAATAAATGATACCGGTACAAGATTTATTAATGATTTGGAGAACATAGTTCAAAATATCCTGTAATTGCTGATGATGGGGATCTTCAGTTTTTACTATTGTAACTGTTTGACAATTAACGGGGAAGTTTTGAAGAGATAGATATTAACTAATGAAGTAGAAATAAGGTATAATGTGATTTTTTGTTAAATGAAAGTGATGTTCTGTATTATTTAATTCATTAAAAGTGATTTATATTTATTCAAGAGATATATTTTCGAAATGTGTGTTAATTTATTGAAATTTTTATTTTTATAGGTAATTATTAGAAGAATAGGAGACAGAAAAATATTATTAACAATAAAAAGAATAAAAACAGCCTATGTGGGACATGTATATCGCAAATCTAAATATGATACAGGAGTTAGCATAAGTCAGGCAACAAATTTGCAGTAAGAGAAAAAATGCAGCGCCAAAATGAATTTATTGAAAGAAATTACAAAAGGGTTTCGAAAAAGATTTCTGTACGTGTTTAAGTTGATGCCCATATTGATCACTGCATTTACGGCAACGTTTACAACGGAGAGGCAGGTCCAGCAAATCACGTCAAGCTGTCTGTGAAGATTTTCAAATTTTTCTTCAATTGCAGTTCGGAGGTCGGGAAGGGTGCGTGGTCCTCTTGCAAAAACCCGGTCCTTTTTTTACGGAAAAAGAACGCCCCACAGGAAGAAATCACAGGGTGTCAGATCACATGACCGTGCGTGTCACTCAATGATTCCTCACCTGCCTCTCCGATTCTCCAAAAATGAACATTAAGGTACTCCAGCACACATGACATGTTTTCATTCTGAAAACGGATCTACTCGACGACCACGTGCTATCATGACACCGGTACGGCACACCTGTCTGAAGCACGAATATGCTTCGTTTTATCGTTTTAATCTTTGTCGACAGTGTTGCCATACTTATCAGCGTTGCCTGACTTATGTCAATTTTTCGAGAACGTTGCCTGACTTATGCCGATCCCCGTATAATAAAATTAATAAACTGAAGGTAGCGACCCACCACAAGTTATCAATACCAATGTCACTATTATAATTGTCAACATTTAATGGAGACGTTACTCGAAGAAGAAGATAGGTTTTTCACCATAATGTGAATATTGTGATGTTCACTTTAAAAAAACTACATAATAGTGAAATATATGATATATACAAGTAGGTACATTACAAAATTCATCTTTTCTTTTTCTTCAGTTAGTTATGTTTTTTTTATAAATACATAATTATAGCTATTGTATAACTTTCTATCTAACAATATATTATGGTAGGTATACGTGATATTTTACATCCTACATTTTTATTTAAACTAACAGTCACCTTCATTGTCTTTGTAGATTTAATTAAAAAACTATAACAACATAATCCGTTCAAGTAATAAGATTATTTATGCTAATGATACTTAAGTTATTAACAATGTATTTTTTTATACAAACAATTTGTTTTTTTTTACATTTACTGTAGAAATAATATGTAATATACAATGGTGAATGTAAAATTATTAGAATCGAATTATGCAAAGTCATTACAATGAATAATTTTTAACATAATATAATAAAAACAATAATCAGACACAGTTAAATGAATATAGATGTATGTGTATCTATATATCTGTGCAGAACAAAAAGAGGTGACCGCATATTTAGCAATGATTTTGGTATACTTATGGAAACTTCAATCAGAAAACAATTTTAATATTGACTTACTGGAAGAAATTTTTGAATAAGAGCAAATTTATATTCATAAAAATGGGAATTTTAAAAGAAGCCCCACACGGATGTGTACTTTTACAACTGTTTTTCAAGGGTAGCTCTAAATGCTCTAAGTGCTTCTCCATGAAGTTAGTTATGTATAGAGTTAAGATATACGAATAACTCTTTTGTTAGGTTAGAGTGCCACTAAGAAAGATTTACAAACACGAAGAGAAAATCATAATAACCAGCTGCGAAAAGAATATACGTTTACCAAAAAAGTTATAATAAAAGTTTTCTGAATAATTAAAGTCAACTGGTAACGTCTGGTATCCTTCGTAGATTTTCCATAATCAGTAACTAAATCTACTGTTAAGATTTCTGCTCTTTAAAATTACATACAAGCATAGTATTTATACTTTATTTGCAGATAATCAATTCGTGATAATCAACGATAAAGACAATGAAGTTTACATAAAATAAACATTATCGAGGAGTATAGCTACTTTGACAAATCTACTAGTCATGTATTGTAAAGAAGTACTTATCTATATACTTGAGGGCAATGTAATCAAAGTGGAGACACAAACAAAATATGAAACATTATCAGTGTACCTACGCCGTGGATTGCTAAATAAAAATGGTGTAGGCCAATACTGGCCCGAAATTCTATAGAATTTGTCCATTTAAAAAGTAACGTAAGTGTGTACTTTTGATGTATAAACACGTCATTTTCACATATATTTATCGAAAAAACTTTGTCATAATTATTTTTAAAGTCCCTAAAGGCTACTTACCTCAAATGCTAAAGTATTAAAGATGGTAAGGATAAGTCTCATTGGCCATTTTGCTTGATAGGAACGGTGGGCCCACAGTCTGTGAGCACCAGCTGTTATTCCCAGACCACCGCAAATATATAACACTACAGCTGAAACAAAATAAATACACTTTAAGTCAAAGGCTAAATTTAGAAATGACAAAATAAGTATTGTGATGTTTGAACCTTTATTATATGTGCTGGACCTGACACAAAGGGTTGAGTGCTACAAATCTGGATTGCGAACTCCATGAAAACTGAGAGATAATATACAAGTATTTGTGTAGTCGTGAACTAAAACGACTCTACGGACTCAGAATTTTTTCGCGATAGAAGCGTGGACTCAGACTAAAGCAAAAAGAAATATGTCGTCAAAATAAATAAAGTTTAAGATGTTACAAAAAAAAACAAGCTTCTGAAATGATAAGTACGAACTGGGAAAGGAAAGATCTACAGAGCTCTTGGTCGGAAACTTATTCCCTGGCTAAATAAATTATTTAGAATCATTATAACGAAATAGACTAAGAAAAACTTTACTTAATTGTTTTATTGCTATCGTCAGTATCTGTTTTTTGCTCATGTATATCATCCATAAATTATATTTATCTAATCCAACACTATAGTTTTTGTTAGACCATGAGTATATTATCACCTTAACACGTGATTTACGCGTGAGCATATTTCAATATAAAAATGTTTACGCACTTTTTTATACTTAATACCGTCCTTCAAATCCTTCAAGTCCTTCACTGCGATTTTCGAATATGAATATTTAGACGTAAGAGGCTACGTTTGTATAAAAGATATTAAGCATTTTCCATGTTATCTAGAAATATTTTTATTAAAAATAAATATTAGATAATATATATATATATATATATTATATATATAATATATATATATATATATATATATATATATATATAGTGTAGATGGATTGAACGACGCAATACACTTAATTTACGGACATTAATTTCGTTTGGTCTTGAAAACGCAAAGCTTGGGTTAAAAGTTGGATAGAAAAAAGGCAAGAATTGTCACACACCTATTTAATTCAAGAATTGGTAATAGAACAGCTGATAACAGCAATTATCTGAAAAATCATACAATGAATTGTTGTCTTTATTGACCCCTAAGTTATAAAAATATAATAATATAAAAACAAAATACGGTAACGTGAGAAGATATTTTTCCTCATGAACGGTTGACAGCTACAATCACAGCCAATACCTGGCCGAAAATAAAACCCAAAGAAGTTTGCAGTATTCTACTTTAATATCTAGACAAACTTTGGGAAGGATTATTCCAGAGACATGCAGAGCTATTTACACTGCATTAGAAACGCGATTTCAGATGACGAGTCAAGTAAAAAAATGACATGAAACATTACAAGCCGCGATCAAGGCTTGTCGGTATGTAACACTGAGGTACTGCAATGTTACAATGGCGAGATTTTACCGCCAAGCAATAATAAAACTGCGGTTTTACTGGTCTGTCGATCAGGGCTTCTAGAGGTTACTCATAAACTGATTAAACTCATATTCAGTTTAAACAAGGTATAGTACTTCTTATTTTCCTGCATTTTAACAGCGATTGGTGTATTTTGGTTTCCTACAGTTATCCATTCTTAATTATGTTTCAATTTCTTCAAATTATTCGTTTCATTTACTTCATGCTCTTCCTCTCTTCCATAACCAGGATTGTATTCTACCAGATCACATATTTCTCTCTTCTATAAAGCATACGCCAATAAGTACTATATTATTTTCATTGATTTAATAAAGCTTACTATATTGTCTTCACTCATTATTTCGTCAATTTTGTGAACCATTAACTTCTTAAATTCATTATCGGTAATTTTTTTTTTGTTCCAAGGTTGTTCTGTCTGTGACATATGTTAATACTGCTAGTATTATTGTCTTATTAAGATCTGGTTAGTTTTTCGTGATTTTCCACATAGTTACCTTTGGTGATTTTAAATTTTCTTTCACACTTTCCATCTACATTTTTTAGTAAGTTTTCTACTTAGCATAATTTTTGCCATTCTATTGTTTTCCGACCTTTCAATGTGCTCAAAGTATCTTATAAACTGTGTTTTTATGCATGTGATAATTTAAAATCAATTTACTAAAAGCTTTATTTAAATGTAGACTATATTGATTTTTTTTATATTGACTAAGTTAAATCACATCAACTTAGCTAACCTAAATTATTATTACTTTCTCGAAATGATCGAAAAACAATAAAATACAGTCAACCTTAATGTAAGTTTCCGTCGATTTTTCATTAATTCACTTTTATAAAATAATGAATGCAACATTGATGCTTAAAACGACATCTAAACAAAAAAAATGTTCATCATGATCATTTGTATTGAATGGCAGTTTTTATACATAAATCAATAAATTAATTAAAACGAAACGGAAAATTAATATACAGTTAGGAAACGGGACAATAAAGGAAATTTTGTTATCAAAGTTACCTTTTGATCTTGATCATATTTTACTAACGGCCATTTCATATTAATGTTACTAAATATTCTAACAAACCATAGCCCTAGGATGACGCCTATGGAGTGCGAGGTGAGGTAATCGCCAAACTGCGAGTTTCGAGAATGTTATGTTTACATTAAAACTGTGTTAACAGAGACTATTATACAAACAGTATAAAATAGTTAAGTTTTAAGAGGTTGTTGTTTAATCATCTATAAATGCAAATTGACAAAGCTTGTCGTTTAACCATTAATAAATGCACATTAAAAAGCTAACACATTTTGATTTATGCACTATTTAAAAACTGTACCAGATTATTCATTTTTCCGGTTTCACCAGAAACATGAAGTATACAACATGAAAAGATAGAAGAGAATAATTATAAGATATAAGATATATAAGCAAAAGTGAAATGTCTCTCCCTCTCTCTATCTTTTTCTTTCTACTGCCTTCCCTCCTTATGGATTAGCGCATATCGATCCATTTGTTTTATTCCTTTGAAATTTCCTCTACAAGTTCATTCAAGTTCCATTCCTCTCTATTTTTCGCTCTCTGTTCGATCTCTCTTCATCTCAGTCCAATTCTTTCATGATGACTTCTTACAGTTCTTCTCCAGCTATTACCCGGCCTTCCTCTTTCTCTTTTTCCGATTAGTCGGTATTTGAGTGCCTGTCTGGTTATATTATTTTGGTCTTTCCTTAGTGTAGTGCAATCCATTTCCATTTTTCTTCTTTTAATCGTGATCGTTATTTTTTCTTGTTTTGTTCCATTTATTTATAAAGGTTTGTAATTTTTTGGTAGTTGTTTCTTCCTTTCTCCAAGATATAATACATCTTCAAGATACAACGCCATGCAATAATAGAACCAAATCTAATTTTTGAACCTAATTAAGAAAGCGTTAGATAGGGTACCCCAAAAGGGTTTGTGGAGTGTCCTCAATAAGAAAGGAGTTGCTGGTAACTATGTGAATATTGTGACAGATATAAGTAAAGTTCATGTTAAAGCAGAACTGTGTCAGAGCCAAGACCTTGTTTAAAATGAATGACAATTAGATTTTTTTTAAAGCCCTTTTCTCTATTCGAATTGCCGAATATAGCCCTCTCCTAATTTTCGCCATTCATCCCTGTTGTTTGTAAGACGTTTTCACATTGGCCCTGCAGTTCTTTTAATATCGTCGCTCCATCGCATTTGCGGTCTTCCTCGTGGTCTTTTGGCTCATATGGCCGCAAATTCCCGATTTCTTTATTCCATCGGCCATTCGTAAGACGTTCGTTATGTCCAGCCCATTTCCATTTTAGTTTAGCTGCCTGTTCGACAGCATCTTTTACTTTGTTCTATTACGAATGTCTTAATTGGTTTTATGATCTTTGAGATATACAGCATCTGTCGTTCCATATATCTCTGAGTTTTTCTGATCTTCTCCATGTTTATTTTAGCGAATGTCCAGGTTTGAGCTCCATATGCTCAGGCACAGGTAGGATACAGGAATTGAACACTTTGGTTCGCAGTACGAGTTCGTATGAGAGTCTTCCGGACGCTGCCCATCCCATTTTTACACGTCTGCTTTTTTCGGTAGTCTGATTTTCTTTGCTTACTTTGACATTTTGACCCAGATATGTATATTGATCTACGTGTTCTATCTCTGTCCTTTCGATGTTTATCATAGGTTTGTCATCTTTGTTTGACATTAGTTTAGTTTTGCTGAAATTCATTTTCAGTCCTTTTTTAGGGATTCTGTATGTAGCTCCTTAATCATCGTATTCAGTGAATTCCACGTATCGGCTATTAGTACTACATCATCTGCGTATCTAAGATGGTTCAAGTATCTTTCATTAATAGGGTTTCCCTTATTTTCCCAGTCTATTAGCTTAAAGATATCTTGTAGCGCAGCTGTAAATAATTTTGGAGATATTGTCTCCTTGTTTTACTCGTTGATTTTACTGGTCTTGTTTCGATTCCATTACCCAATGTCACTATCATTTCAGCTTGTTCGTAAGTATTCTGTACCTGGAGTTGATCCGGTTGTTGACTAATGCTTCTTCTATTGCCCACAGTTCTACGCTATCAAAAGCTTGTTCATAATCTATAAAAGCCAGACATAATGGGAGATTGTATTCGTTAGTCTTTTCTAATGCTCTTTTCCCTGCTTGGGATTTTTAAAGACAATTAGATAATCTGTACCAAATCACAGGCTTTAAAAAGATACGGAAAATACGTGTGGTGTCGCCATCCGTCCTTAACTTAAAAATGTGATCATTCGTTGCGATTATTTGTTTGAATATCTAAGCGCGGAATGCTCTTTGTATGAAATTAACGAGTGATGGAGGATACTGAGTAGTAAATCTGTTGTTCCTTCTATCGTTTTATCATAGTGAATATAAGTATTATCACGAATCTAATTAGTTATTTCAATAGAAGCAATACCAATTTGTATGAATTTACTTGGGCTTGGTTGTTTTGGGTGTCCACTTCTGGACCTCTAATACAAATCACAATAATTAATAATTAAGATTCCTAGAACTTTTCCTCAAGTAAAAAGTACACATGGACATTTTCTAGTAGGGCAATTTTTTTGATGATTTAAAATTGACAAATGTTTTTTTTCAAAAACATTAAGGACTTGATATCATCTTGTTTGTTCTTATCGTCCAATATATGTAACATAACAATCAGCTGTTTAGTTATAATCACAACGTGAAGTTCATTGAAAGTCAAGTTCAAAAATATCGTTTCTCTTGTCCTACAAGGTCGTAGAGATAAGTCAACGAGTGTAGCAGGTTACATAACATGAGTATCAATTTCATTCTCAGGACTTTTTATCAGTAGAGGTCAGTCGGTTATTTTTGGATGCATGTTACATGCGTGTACAGGGTGATTATCACGAATTATTACCAAGCATGACGGATGCAAAGAGATCGATTGTGTAAACTTTGTGTATCGCAAAATTTAATCACATTTGCGAATTTATAATCGTGTGCAGACCTATAGTCACGTAGGCACAAACAAATATATGGTATTGAAGGATTATTTGCTTGCTCTAAATTAAAAGGAGAGCTATTCTGGGATCTAGGATAAAGCTTTGTATGTACTATATAAATGTCAATATTTATTTAATCGTTTCAACTTCAATTGTTCAGAGCGGATGTTTGGCTTTATAATAAATTTAAAGAGCGGAAGCAAAGTGAAATCTTCTTGTTTTGCAAGATTGCATAGATACAAAGAATATAAAAAATATTGTTGAAGGATGTCTTTTACAAAATTATTATCATATAAACTAAAGTAAGAGAAACGATGTTAAAATAAATTAATAATTTGGTAACCGTCTGTAATTTGTTGACTATGTAATTTTAATAATTAATACAGAAACAAATTAAAGAAGATTCTTAAAGAATTAAACAGCGAAGCTAAAAAATACGCTTTACAATAATCATAATAAAATGAAGATTATCACAAACAGGAATGAAAACGTTTTGATAATAATCAGTAAAACTTCGGATCAAATCGGCTTAGACAGCATTCGGCAAATTATGCTACAGATTAAAGGTTTCTTCACAATATCAGAAGAAAAAGAGAATATTTAATAATTATTATACTCGCTCTTTTCACTTATGAAAACCACCTGAAGACATACAGATTTTAACAAAAATGACGCAGGAGCCATGTCGATTTGCAAAAAACCTTGATTATGCCGACATTAAAAATTCGACTGATTTCATCATCATCATCATGTAGCGCTACAACCATGGGTGGGTCTTGGATAACTGCACAACTTTTTTCCAATTGGTTTGGTCTTTCATCAACCTGTAGTCAAGTGAAATGTTCATTTTGTGGATATTTTTGATTGTATGTTGTCTCTCCATCACATTCTGGAACACCCAAGTGACCTTTTCCCCGTGAAAACATATCCCAAATCTGTTTTGCAAGTTTCTGGTTATACAGTTATTTACGTACCCTGCTCAACTGGTGATTGGCGTTTAACCTCCTAGACAACATCACCATCAAATTCTTTTACTTTTGTATTTGGTCTTATCTATGCTGGTTCGTAATCATATCGTGGTGTACTCCGAAAATTTCTCTTTTAAATTGTTGTGTTTTTATTGATTTACTTTAGTCATTGTCCATGTTTAGCACCAATATGTTAGTACAGGCCCGGCAATAAATTTATGGATCTTGACTTTTAATGTCCTTGATAGGCTTTTGTATTATATAAGCTATATCTGTACATACAGACAGTGGTTTGGAGACTGATGATTTAGTTTGTACTATCTAAAATATTCCAGGTTCATCAGAAACGGTAAGACAAGACCAATGTTCCTTGAAACAAGAGATGTGCGTCTCTTAAACCAATGTTGGTTTCAGAATATAAAGTATACGATCTAAATTCGTTGCAAACAAGCAAGAAACAGCGTTAGCTTGGTAATTGACTAGATAAGTATTCAACTGAAAATGTTTAAATGCTTTTGTTTTGGTATGGATACTTGGTCATAAAGAAAAATCGTAGATCACGAAACTTATAGGGTAAAGGAAAAAAACTTTGCTACTCGATTCTCGTCCAGGTGCCCGGCAGTCCATTTCTTAAAATTAGGCCACACTACAATCAGGTCCGGGAAAAGAAGCATATAAAACAAACAGTAGGTTAAAACAAAAGTAACAAGTAAATATTAAAATCTTATTTGCAACTTAATTTTCGATTCAAAAACTCAGTTATAAAGGAAAGAGTACTGCAACAAATATGAAGAATTGAAAGTAGCAATGATCTGATGAAATGCAGGAAATTTACTCACCCAATATCGTCGTAAATACTTTCGCAGACGCTAACATCAGATAAAATCCATACAGCGCTACCAGGTGAAGATAAGCAAAAAGGATAATGTTACGCCAAACCAATTCAAGTTTGCGCTCGCTTGGTTTTACAATTTCCGGAGGAATCATTTTTGCTTGGACCTCGTCATCATGTTCGTGAAGAACACCGGTGGGCATTGATGTGTTTGGTGCCATTGTTATCTGCAATAAGAAATTATCAAGATTAACCAAAGATTCATTTTAACAAATCACTTTCTATCAAATACTATTACGTTCAGATCAGCTATGATATAGTTAATACACACAAAAAGATTGAAATATAGCTTGCTTTATTTTCTTAGGAAAATTTTGCTTAAGAAATTTTGGTGTTTCTTGTAGATTTTTTTCCTTCTTGAAGATTTTTGGTGTTCTTATTTTTCTCTTAAAAATTGACTTGTATAATTAAGCTTGTAATGTTTTTATCGTTACCCTTAAAAAATATAATTAGTCAAGGCAGTGTTTCCATAGGTAACAGTTTTCATCATGTATCAGAATAGCGCCATTCAGAAGCAGCAAGTGTAAGTATACTGATAAAAAAAAGACTGACTTAAAGTATTAAAAACTATTAAAAGTTGAGATAAAGCTGAAAGAACATGACTTAATAGTAGTGGGTCGATTTGGAGAAGAAAAAATAATGCGATCATGTGAATTTAAAGATAATGAATGATACTATCAGCACAAGGATGTCCATAAATTCACATGGACCGAACCAACGAGAAATTTGAAGTCAATAATCCACTACTCAATATACAAGGAAAACTCCAAAATAAAGGTTAATAACGTTAGGGTCATTCGAGGAGCAGAGTGTCGATCTGGTCACCATTTACTTAAAGCATTAGTCGGTATTGTTTACATTTAAAGGAAGCCAACAACGAAATAAAGATAAACAGTTTTATGGCACTACAAAACATCTCAACTATTATGTATGTATGATTTAAAGGTTTTTAAAATAAGTCAACTTAACAATGTTTGTTACTCCTCGCCAACCAAATACGTACAACGGAATCATTAAATCTATCGACGAAGCTGCAATGGAATAGAAATAAATGATGGAATAAAGAAATAGAAGATGTTATGGGATGAATGAAGATATTTATAATAAATATCTAGCAAAAAATGACATAAGACGACAAAGAAGTAAAAAAAGTGGTAAATAAAGCCAAGAATGAGATGTGGAATAAAGCGTGAGACGATGTACAAAATTATTTGGGTGGCGCAATAACTAAAGAAGCCTGGAAAATAATAAGTAGTAGAATAGACATAAAAGAACGTAGTAGGTGGAATTTAATATCCTTGAAAATGGGGATGATTCATCATAAAACTGATAAATATGGCTTTGACAAACTATTTCAGCTATTGGTGTACATTCAATTTATTCTTGAGTCGCGAAGAGCTCTCTTCAGAATGGATAACTGCTTAAATCACCAATCTTTACAAAATAAAATGTGACAGAAAGGATTGTAAGAATTACTGAGAGCTTAGTGTAACCAATTCAATCTGTATGGAAGCACGAACGCTCACTGAAACAATGTAAAATAATTGAGGTTTCGAGATGGGGGCCTACCATAGAATTTTAAGAATATCGTGGACGGACAAAGGGACGAATCAAGCACTTTTAGAATGTCTAAAGTCTAAACAAAGAAAGAAAGGTTCATCCCATAAAAAGAAGAAAATTGGAATAGTTTGTCATCGTGAGGAGAAATCCGAAACATGGACTACGACATGTTATATTTTCGGGAAAACTGTAAGGAAAACGTAGTCTTTATCTACATATAATCTGTCTGATAATTTTAACGAATACTTTATATTAAAATACGAACGTGGAAGTCCATAAAACGATAAGGATTTAAATTTTAAATTCGCTAATTCGGATAAGTCACTGTTAAATTTGTTAAAATTTTTTATAAACATGGGCTATTTTTGTGTAATATAAGTATATATTATACATTATATTTAAAAAGATAACCCCGAACTTAGTAATACAATAAGGAAAGTTACACAAGACAATAAGAAAAGGAACAGGAAGACGAAACTGAAGCTACAAGTTTACAGAATAACCAAAACAATCGGATAGAGCTTTAATAGTAAAATATACTGGTCATAGAAGGGCATTCTGGTACACTCATAGGCTTTTCAATTTCCTACACTGTATTTAATGATTATTAGACGTAATAGACCATCTGAAGTAGAAGTTAGAGAAGAATTTTGTATAGCTTCTGTGAGCTTCAGTCAATATTTCAAAATAAGTAAAAAGTGATAATGTTGTTCCAAAAATAAGTTATATTGCGAAAAAAATTAATACTCACAATGAAAAGCATATGTAAGAAAGTAAGAGACCAAAAAAAAAAGAGATAGACAAAATTCCAATCAAGCCTCATTTTTTAAAACCTATGTTCATTTTTTTTTTAATTATAACAAATTATATTGACAAAATAAGGCTTTTACTTACGACAGTAAATTACACAGCAATGATTTGATACTTAATAAAACAATTGAGGCAAAAAATTTTCCTTTTGAAATCAATTGAGAAACAATTAATAATATTGTAGGGCAAATATGTGAAGATAAAACGCACGAAAAAGATACTTTGTCACCAGAACCGCAAGTTCGTTGATAGATTTATTGAATTTTAATTGACTTTAATACTAATAAACCTTAAAACGGACAATCAAAGCATTACTCGTTAATCTGAATTGTGACTCATAAGGCTGTTATATTTATAATTATATTTTGGTAAGTATAACTCATTTTAAAAGACAAACGATCAACATACCTAAAGTTCTGGTAATCAGAATGGTTGTAGTGAAAATAATAATTAACTATTTAAAAACAACTATAAATGAAAACAAAAAACAATTAATTAGGTATAATATCCATTTTAGCTTGGAAACAAAGCTTTCTAATAAATACTACTAAATAAAGAGCATTCTGATAAGAGAGTCGATAAAAATGATAACCCCATATTAAAATCAACCAATTAACAAATATTTTTGAGGTTATAGCTTCTATCATTCAAGGTTAAAAATAAGTTTTACAATGATTTCTATATACATTACACAACAAAATCTTACGAATTACTGAAAGAGTGTAATAATTGTGAATGTAAATACGTAGACCTTTGACAATTTTGGTATTCTAAAAATTTTTTGCCACTTACATACAGTTAGTTATCTACAGATAGTTCCCTCGACACCCACGAACGCCGACCTGTTGTTCACTAACCCTAACCAGGGCCAACTAAATACCAACTCAGAATATTAAATAACATCTAAACATCAATCAGAGAAGCACACAGAAACGTAAGTATATCGAACAATACTATAAAAATCCAAACCTATGTCTGGTGGGTTTTCCTCCTGGATTATTCCGATATCGTAGTCGTGGAACACATGACGCTGACGATATCGACTGGTAAAAGGGGCGTCCTGAGCCGTCTGATGAAGGTCACAAGGTCACGGAGGATGCTCTGCAGGAGGCGAAAGGAACGGCTGACTGATCGTTGGATTTTTTTTTATAAAGATTGATTAAACATGAATTTATGCAAACATTATGATTTAATATTTTGTAGATTTTTTTTAAAATATTTATTACAAGGGTAGTTCCATAACTACGGGGTCCAACAAAGAAAATGCAAGTCTACGAAATCGTTATTTTAAAATGAAAAGAAAATTTTTTCCCGCCCAACGATTTCATCAGCATTGGAAATAAGGACACTCGCTTCTATATAGTAAACCGAGCGAATGAAGCACTCATTCAAAACTAAATTCACGAATTGTTGACAGGAGTTGACAGGAGTATTATTATGATGAAATAGGGCTTGCTTGTTCACGAAATCACTTTAATATTTTCTCTTTAGTTTTGTAGCGAACTTGTAACGAATTGGAACAATACTCACCATTTATTGTTGTCCCCTTTTTAAAAATAGAATGACCGAAATAATTCGATGAAAATCTCAAAATTTGAGACCTATCCTTTACTACTAACTTCTTTCTTTGGCGGAGGAGCATCTTTGTATGTCCATTTTATAGTGTTCTTTGGTATCGGGAGTACTGGTAAACCCAGAAAAACAATGTAATAAATCGTTTTCTTACTGTGCTGTACATAAATGTGTCTTCACTGCACGGTAAAAAAAGTTTTGGTGTAAGTAGTACAATGTTTTAGCGACCAAGAAACATATTATCTAATTGGGGAGCGGTTGGACACACAAAAAACAATGCCTATCTATCCTACCAGTCACGTCAGCCGTACAGCACATTTTATAATAAATATGCTGATTTCCGATTTGTATATTAAAGTTTCATCTCAAATCATATTTTGCGTCATTGTTGCGCATTTAGTTATTTGTTATTCTGCTCAAATAACACATAAAACGTGACGGAAATTTATAAGCACTATTTAATTTTTTTTTTCTTCGCAGGTAATTCATACTTTTATTACAGAATAAAAAGAACGAAAACTTAATACCTAATTAACAATCTATTGAACTTTTGCGTATGGCGGGTTTGGTTTAGTTGAAAACACGTCATGCAGTTTTTTTATAGCCATTCAAAAAATTTCTTATGGATCTTCATCATCTTTGCTTTTATCCATATGCAGATTCATATTAAAAAATTACTACAATTCTCCATTACCAATTTCCTTAATTACGATCTTTGTTCTAACGATCTTTCACTTTCATTTTGGCATGAGGCCACACATAGACTTTCCCTAATTCATTCATTTGAGCATTCATTGTTAATTTCTTTGCAACTATGGAAAGCAACTATGTTGAACTTTTATCAATTTTCTAGAAATGTGAATCATTGGAAAGAACAAAATGAAGAACTGCATGAAAGTAATAAAAATGGTTATTTCTAAAGAAATATCATAAGCATACGTTTTTAACTATATTGTATATACAATGGCTAGGAAAATAAAAACTTACAGAGCAAAACTCGGAGGAAAGAATAGATTGGGCGAAAGAAATACGAAGAACAATAATACAACAACGAAATAACGATATTGTCAGCAAGTGACACACAAAACTTAAACAATTCTATAAAGATGGCAAATAATCTCAATATGAAAACTAATACGTCCTAGGAGACAACTTAAAATTTATTAAAAAAGGGCATTATTTACGAAGTCACTAATATAGTCCAGTCGTCAGATATTCACCTCTA